CCCCATCTCACTTCAAATCATCGTGCTCATCAAAGAACACCACCACAACCAGCTCCTCGTACACCTCCCCCGACCCCCCAAAACGCCCCCACAGACACAAAGGCAACCAACCCCACCATCCCCACCCTCCATCCCACCGCACCTCCATTTCCCTCACCTGCCTCCGCGCCGCCTGCGCCCTCATCGACATCCTCCCAGACCACCCAGACCCCGTCTGGCTCGCCCGCTTCGCCCCCTGGTGGAGCATTCTCCACTACATCATGCAAGCCACCACCGCCCTCCTCCTCGGCCTCTCCTCCTACCCGGCGCCTCCGAACGCCGCCTCGGCTTCGGCCCCAGACGGCACATCCACGTCTACCCCGGGGTCGTCCGTCGCCGGGGAAGCAACCGAAACCGAAACAGAAACAGACCCCACCATCGCGACCGTCCTCGCGCACACGCGCAAGGCGCTGCGCTGGCTGCGCCGCATGGGCGGCGAGGAGGCGGCGGCGCGGCGCGCGTTCGTGCTCTGCGAGAGGGTTGTGCGGCGGATTGTGCCGGGCGAGCCGGGGGGATGAGATGATATAAATTGTGGTAGATTGTATGTGTATATGGTCATGTATTTTTGAAGTTGATATTGATATTGATACTGATATTGATATTGATACTGATACTGATAGTATTGTATTTAAGATGAATGATAGAATACCAGGATGATGGATGGATGTATATATATATGTACGATGTTTACATTTGTGTGGTTGGAGGATAGGATAGCGATTAGACTACCTAGAATAGATGAATAGGACAGGATAGACATGGATAGTATGGATGGATGGATGGATTGCAGATTCAGATTCAGATTACAGGACCGAAACCAAACAAAACCAAAACAAAACAATACAAAACAATACAATACAAAACAATACAGAATAACACGTGGATTGGAGATGAGACAAGTAAGTAAGTAAGTAAGTAAGTAGCTAGTACGCGGGATGGAATTTGGATATGGATATGGATATGGATATGGATATGAATATCATCAACAGTCAACAGTCAACAGATCAACAGATAGAGACTAGAAAAAGCAGGACAGGACAAGACAAGATAAGATAGGACAAGACAGGACAAGACAAGGTTGATTAGAAACACGCCTCGGCAAGGACGATGAAACATGGAAATGGAAACTGGAATTTAAACTAGAGAGATACACCGATACGATACGATTACTCTTCCGGAGGACACATGGAAATGAGAAAAAAAAAAAAAAAAAAAAAAAGGAGAGAGAGAGAAACCCCCCACCCCACCGGCCAACACAGTTACATCTGCTGGGGCATATGAGACATATGCGGCGGCATCTGTGGGTGCATCTGGGGATGCATCTGGGGCGCCAGCTGCTGCGCCATCTGGTGTGGGAGTAGGTATGCACGCTTGCGCGGATCGTCGGCGTCCAGGGGGGCGGCGCGCTTCTGTGGCGGGTTCAGCGCCATCGCGTCGGCGGCTTGGTGCTGGTGCTGGTGTGGGAGGGGGTGCTGGTGTTGGTGTTGATGGGGAAGCGGGTGTTGGTGCTGGTGTTGGTGCTGGTGCTGGTGCTGATGCTGAGCCGCGAGCGCGTGCGCGTGGGTGTGCGCGTGGAGGTGAGGGGAGGGTTGGTGCTGCAGATGCTGCGCCTGGGGTTGCGCCTGGGCTTGAACTTGAGGCTGCACCTGGTGCGGATGCGGGGGCGCAACCTGCATCTGAACGTGTGTCTGCGGTTGAGCTGCGGGTTGCTGTGACGTGGGCTGGACCTGCGGTTGGGGCTGCTGCGCTGTTTGTACCTGCGGAGCCGGTCCCGCTGCCGGGGTCTGTCCCGGTCCCTGGGCTTGTCCCTCGGCCTCGGCCTTGGCACGGGCTTCAGCCTCAGCTTGCGCCTTGCGTGCTTCGACATCCGCCTTGCGAGGCCGTCCTCGAGGCCGTCCCGTGCCCGGTTTGGGTGCCGCCGGTTTGCGAGGTGCCTTGGGTTTGGGTGTCGTTGTGCTACCGGCCGTCTCCGACTTGCGAGGACGTCCGCGCCCGCGCTTGACGGGAACGGCGGGGACAGTGCCGTCGGGACCAGGGACCCCCGGTACACCCGAGGTGGGAGCCCCAGGCGCGCCCACCGTAGCACCAGCCACCGAAGCGGGGACGGTCCCTGCGGGAGCTCCAGCAGGAGCAGCACCAGCAGCGGTGCCGCCTGGCGCGGCCGAGGCCCCTGCGGCAGCGTTCTTCTTGGCTTTGGGAGTCTTGGGGGGCATGGTCCCATCTGGAAGGGGAACCTTGCGCGGCCGTCCTCGCTTCCGAGGTGTGGGAGCAGGTGGCTGTGTTGCAGGTTGGGGTTGTTCGGGCGCCTGGTTCTGGGGTTGTCCCTGAACTTGGATTTGGAATTGACTTTGGCCGGGAGTCTGAGTGAGTGTCGGAGCTTGCATAGACGCTGGAGTCGGCGCGGCAGCCTGCACTTGGTTATGAACTTGATTGTGCCCAGGCTTGTGCACTTGATGTTGCGCTTGGTTGTGGAAGTGGGGCTGGAATTGAATCGATGCTGTCATCCCAGGCTGGTAGCTTGGCTGCGTTGCCTGTCCCGGTGTCGTCCCGTTGATCTGGCCCGCAGCAACCACGGGAGACGCAGAAGCAGTACTGGCAGCAGCAGCGGCGGCGGCCGCCGCCGCAGCCTTTGTTTGTTTACGCTTCTTCGCCGGCTTGGTCTCCTCCTTCTTGGGCTTCGGCTCCTGCGTCGCAGCTTTGCCTCCGGCGCCAAGAGTTGCCGGAGCAATAGATGGCGTCAACTGCTTCTTTGGTTGTGATGGTTGTTGGGTCTGCTGCTGCTGCGCCTGTTGATAGTACTGGTGGGCCTGCTGGACTTGAGGTTGTTGCGCGGTCTTCTGTGCTTGCTGATGGTACTGGGCCGCTTGTTGAACCTGGGGTTGCTGTTGTGATTGCTGAGCATATGAGGTCTGCGGTTGAGCCTGTCTCTGCTGCTGTTGAGCTTGTTGAGCCTGTTGCGCTGCTTGCTGCTGGGCCTGGCGATGCTGCTGCATGGCTTGTTGGACCGCCTGTTCGCGCTGTTGCTGTTGCTGTTGCTGCTGCGTCCGTTGCAATTCTTCCCGATTGGGCTGTTGAGACTGCTGCATCTGCGGAGACTGCTGTGCCTGTTGTGGTTGTGATGTTTGCTGAACCTGTGCTTGTTGGGCTTGCTGTTGCTGGTACTGCCGGTGATAGGGATACTGCTGGAACTGTTGTGACGAGTACTGCGGCGGCTGGGACTGTTGCTGCTGATAACGTGACTGGGCTTGCTGCTGCTGATACGTTTGATGAGTCGTCTGCTGCTGGTAGGGAGATGCCTGCGCCTGTTGCTGCTGGAATGGGGACGGTTGGTGTTGTTGATACGGAGAAGGCTGCGCCTGAGGCTGCTGATAAGACTGCTGCGAGGATGACTGGTACTGCGGTTGCTGCTGCGGTTGCTGCTGTTGCTGCTGTTGCTGTTGCTGCTGCTGCTGCTGCTGCTGGTACTGATGCTGAGTTTGTTGCGGTTGGCTCGTCGCCAGCATGGGCGACGCGGCGGCCGGTGAGGGCGCCGAAGGATGCGTATGGGACGTCTGCCGATGCTGGAGATGCGACTGCTGCTGCAGTCTCTCGAGCGACTGCTGCGGCGACGAGATACTCATGGCATGAGTATGCGGCGACATGGCAGCCTGAGCGCTCATGGCCGGGTGCGGCCGATAACTGGCCATGGGATTCATGTTCCGCTGCAGACTCTGGATCTGCGACAGGTACGGATCCCTCAGCTGACCGACCGAGTCCGTGCCGCGGGACAACAGGTCCGAGGCCCCCTGGGGCGCGTAATGGCCATAGGTGCCATAGCTGCCTCCCGCCGTCAGGCCGACCATGGGTGCCGACGACGCGGGAGTCATCTTGCGCAGTTCCGGCGAGTGGCTCGCAAGCTCGGACGGCTGTTGACCTCGCAGCAGAGAAGTAGTGCTGCCAAGACCATTGGTCGCATGGTGCGAGTGGGCGGCGGTAGCACCCAAGGACGGCGATTGCAAGTGCTGCTGTGGATGTTGCTGATGGGAGCTCTGCTGGGATTGCCGCTGGGGATGGTACTGATGACCCCCGTAGCCCATCATCTTGAATGAATTGTTTCTGAAATTCTTGGGACCGAGATCGATCTTGGAGATTTGTTGTCTGACACGATGAGATGGAGAGCCAAGGATGTTGTCTCAGGCACACCGAACATGTGACCACCGCGTCTGAGGGATCAAATCAATACGCGACACGGTCTGGATGGAACCACCCGACAGCCAGATGGGAGGATTGAGCAAGGATACACCCAATTTCGTTTTCAATCCGAGTCACAGGAATTCCGTGCGAGAATGAAAAAAAAAAAAAAAAAAAAAAAAAAGGAATCGCCACACATCCAACGGCAAGGATGTCGCGTGCTGTTCCAATGGTCGACGGTCGACTTCTTTTTCTCGTGATGATACTGATGATAGAGTAGTCGACGGAGGCCTCAGGCCAACACTACGGCGGGGCGGCAAACACCCAAAGCGCAGTTGGTTGGGCGAAGTTGAGAGCAATAATAATACACGACAAATGCCAGCTGGAAGGGAACAGAGAGCCGATCCCAGAGGACACAGGGGTATTGGGAGGGACACAAAGGCCGAAAAGAACAGACAATGCTGAACTGCAGTGATTTCCGATAAAAAGAACGCTGAACGACGGCCAAGAGGATGAATGCTGAAGGGAATCTGGCGATGGACAGTCGGGTTGTTGTTCTTTTTTTTTTTTTTTTTTCTTTTATTTTATTTTCCTTTTTTATTTTATTTGGGTTTTGGGGGGGGGGAGAAGGGGGGGTTTTCGATTTTTTTTTCTCCCTTGGTCCCTCCGCATCACGTGACGCAGGGTTAGCTTGGCCACTCAGCGTCATCGCGATCGGTTTAGTCAGAGATGGACGATACGAATGATGAGGAGAGAAAGCAGAGGGAGGGTGAGAGGAGAAGGATTCGATGGATGAGAGGAGTTATATGGGAGGTGATCGACTGGAAGTCTGGTATTGTTCGTGAGGAGATACTTTGAAGCGATATCGAATAATATTGTTATTGTTATTATTATTATTATTCTTCTTATTATTATTTTTATTGATTGATGGATTATTTTATTTTTATTCTGATGGATGGAGCTAAAATAAACAGTGGGAAAAGAAAGAAAAAAAAAAAAAAAAAAAAAAAAAAATCAAAATAAATAAATAAATATCGAGGATGCAAAAAGATACTGTGGGCAGGATGATACCCACACAATCAATAATACCAGCCTGTCCAGCAGCACCAATCTTCATATTCCAGATTCCAGATTCCATTTTAATCCATATTATTATAATTATGATCATTATTATTCTGATGATGTCCCCATTTAATATGTTCATACACAGTAGAAATTAATAAATAAATAAAGAAATACAGACAATCCTTAATAGTGGCCTCCACCCATGCCACTCTAGCTAGTCATTTAAGCTTAACATCTGCGATCCATACGGACATCTTATATGCACTTCCTGAAGCGATTCGATTCAGACCACCGCCACGCTCTCTCGCAGGATCATGCCCGTTTCTCACCATTTCCATCCGCCTCCTTCATCTTCAAATCCGCCAGACACGGCGCAAAGAACAACTGGCCCGACACCACCCCCTTCAGCGTCCCCATACTCACCACCATCCACAACACTACCACACACAGCGACAAAATCTACTCCATCTTAGCGTCCCTTGACTTTCAAAATGTTACGATTTTAGAAGGGGGGACAAAAGAAAAAAAAAAAAAAAAAAAAAAAGGAAAAAAGGGAAAATACCGTCCCCAGAACCCGAAAGAATTCCGACGGCAGCTCCCGCCCCATCTGGCACGTACTCGTGGCAAACACCCCGAGCGGGAACGTGAACCCCCACCAGCCGATGTTGAACGGAAAGTTCCGGTGTCGGGCGATCGAGGCGGATGCGAAAAAGAGCCAGACCAGGCCAAATGACCACAGGATGAGGGCGACGAGGAAGCCGAGGGTGTAGAACATGGGGCCGGCGGAGGCGTCGAGGGTGTGTGTCTGCGGGAAGATAGATTGGGCGGCTTGGCCGAGTTTCATTGCGCTGTGAGTTGTGAGTGGGGGAAATCCTCTTTGGCGGGAGCTGTTCAATGAGAGAGAGAGAGAGAGAGTGTGTGTGTATGTGTGTGAGAGAGAGAGAGAGAGAAAGACGCACCCGTATCCACCTTGGCCCAACGGCCCGAGCGGGAGAAACACGCTGACTATCACGGCCTTGGGAGGGAGTTTGTGCAGGGTCAGTCGTTGCAGGTAAATCACCATGACCATCAGAGCGAGCGGGACGCCAATGCCCCAGAGGATGTAGCTGACGATGACGGTCCACAGGGCATGCTGGGGGTTTGGGAGGATATCGGCGACGATGGCGCCGGAGGAGGCTGCGACGACGCAGCTGACGACCGGGAGGAGCCAGACGGCGGTCATGGAGGAGAGCTGGGTTTCGTGGCCGTTGGCCATCCTGTATATCAATCAGTATGTTGCTGTTGCCGTTGTTGTTGTTGTTGTTCATCGGGGCTTAAGTTTTCTTGGGAAAATCAGTACAGCAGAAACGGCAACGACAGCGCCACCACCACCGAGAGAACCGCGTCGACAATCCACAGTCCCCAGGCGCAGTTCCGGGTCCACTCGCCCCAGACTGGGACGCAGACGAAACAGAACATGTTGATGATGGTCGCTAAGCCCATGGGGAAGGTTCCGATGAACATCGACTGCACGGGATGACTGATCATGGCGGTGAAGACCTCGGGGTAGAGGATGTATCGTAGGACGCTGATGATGCACCCGGTCCCGAAGAGCAGGACATTCACCGCGAAGAGGACGACCGAGATCCAGTAGAGCCATGGGGCATTGTAGGGGAGTGTGTTCAGGAGGATGGACACGATGCCCGTGCCCATGGTGACTGAAAACCATCTACGACCGCGTTTAGTTGGGATGATCGGTAACAGGGTGGAGGACCGTACGAGGGAGTGAAGTTGCGGACGATGCGTCTCCAGCCTACATCGTGTTTGGTGAGTTCTTGAGCTGGGGGGGTTGTATTAGGGCAGAGCGTTCTCTCCATCCGGTTTGGATTTCGATTCTATTCTACCTGCGATGTTGAGAGTGGAATGGGTGGTTGCATGTAACGAAGGACAATTTTCATTCCCGCATAGAATACACCTTCCTGCAATGTTATATTTATACCGTCAATTTGAGAGTTCTCCGTATAGAGTATATTGAGTCATCCCGGGATAGTCGGTATACTTGCTCAGTCATAAGTCGGCCGAGATGGAAAATCGCTGGTCATGATTACTACCAAGACGTCACATCCATCTCCACTCACTAATCAACAAGCAATGTGGATATGAGATCAGATATTCCTACATCTGATGACAAGAATGATAGCTTCCGCGGGAGTCCCCTGGAAAGAAAAAAGGACGTGCTACCAAATTGTTATGCTCCTGTCAAACCCTCAGACCTACTAACAAGCAACACGACATGCAAGTTGCAAACTTCATCTCCCACCATCCTCGACCTGACCTTACTTCCTCTCCCCCCCAATACTAGCCAAGGTATCCTTAGTGCTATTGCCAACACTACTGGTCGTCTGTCCCAGGCCGTCTGTCGCCCCCGAGACCGTCTCGCCGAGTCCCTGGGTGGCGCCGCCGACCGTCTGTCCTAGCCCACCGACGGTATTGCCCACGGTCTGGCCGAGACCACCGACGGTGTTGCCGAGGGTGTTGGTGAGGCCGCCTAGGAGGGTGGCTTGGGAGTATTTAGCGTTTGGACGAGGGGAGGGAAGGGGGACATACGGTTCTGCTGGGATTGTTCTTCAGGCATTGCGGTGGTTTGTATGGATGATTTTTTTCAATTTTTTTTTTCCCCAAAGGTTCAGTGATTGATGAAGTGTGGTTGTTGCTAGGAAGAAGAGGAGCAGAAGGGTTAAGACTGTTGATTTATATATATGGATATATATGGATATATATATATATACCCTGTTTGATGGACACGGGGAGATACGTCAGTCGGTGGAGGGTTGCATTTCGGAAGATTAATTGCTCAATAAGGAGGCAGAGGAGTGTAGTGGGGGAGAGTGGCGATTGAAGGTCGTCAGTCGTCAAGGTACCATATCCATATCCATATCCATATCATATCCAAATAGCTAGATAGATATCCAGTGAGACACTTCCTTGATGGTCCTCAAGATGATGTCATTCCAGCATGAGCCTCGTGTCAACAGTCTGGGATGATCTGAGAGACATTCCTACTGGTTGCAATTGAGATGCCACATATCAAGCAAGTCAACTAATTGAATTGACCAGACACTGTGGGGCAGGGGAACTAGGTTAAGTACCATGGTGACCCAAGAGAGAGGAAACCCCATAAAAAAGAACCACCAACTTCCAATCCAAACAAATAAGATCCACCATGCCAGCTACTGCAGAAGACATCAACTGCATCGCCCATTTCCTGGCCGCAGAGTCCGACCAGACCCCCCAACCGGCAGACTGTCTCGTCCTCTGCGTCTCTGCCCTCTTGACGACCGCCGAAACAGTCTTCACTCATCTGCAGACCCACCCCGGGACCATCAAAACCCTCGTTCTCTGCGGTGGAATCGGTCACTCCACACCCTATCTCTACGACGCCATCGCCACGGACCCGCGTTACGCACACCTCGACCCCGCCATCCACGGTCTTCCGGAAGCACAGGTCCTCCACCGCATCTTCACCGAGTGTTTTGACGGCGCCCGCATCGTGGACTCGGGATGCACGGTTCTCGTGGAAGACCGGTCGACGAACTGCGGGGCCAACGCCGCGGAGACGAAGCGGCTGCTGGAGACGAGGGGGATCCGGCCGCGGGAGATCGTGGTCGTGCAGGACCCGACTATGTTGCGGCGGACGGTGGCGTCGTTGGAGCAGGTGTATGCGGATTCTGCGGGCCCGAGTCCGCGGTTCGTCAGCTGGCCGACATTTGTGCCGAGGGTGAGGATGGAGGAGGCGACGGTGATGTTTGATGACGGGATGGGGGTGGAGGTTGCGCGGTTGTGGAGCCTGCCACGGTTTCTGGGGTTAGTGATGGGGGAGATTCCCCGGTTGCGGGATGATGGCGAGGGTTATGGACCGAAGGGGAAGGGGTTTATTGTGCATGTGGCCATTCCAGAGGAGGTGGAAGCGGCGTGGAGGAGATTGAAGGAGGGGATGGGGGAAGAAAGGTGGGAGAAGCGGTAGTAGGGGGTTGCTAGTCTGGATGCTATCCAGAATTGTGGTGGATCAGTTGATTTGGGGGTTGGGGGGGGGGGGATATGCTTGTTTGATGTGCATGAGTTGGACGGGGATTTGCGATCGTCGGCAATTTTGGTGGGGAAGTTTTTATTTCTTTCTTTTGTAATTGATATACACCGATATTGATTCTCTGGTTGGGCTGGTATTACTTCTTTTGGAATGGATGATGTTGTTGGTGACTCGCGATTGCTCTATTTCTCTCCGCCATCACCACGCTGAAGACTCTTCCACTCTTCACGGAGGATATTGACCGAGACGTCCATTTCATTCCGAACTACAGACAATAATGGCAGAGTGCTTAGCGAGACAGGGATCCTATCACGCCATTCCATTCGGATTATTGGGTCGCCGGGTCGCTGGCTTGTCGTTTCATTTCGCTTCGCTTCACCTCGTTCGCTGCTGATTCTCGCTTGCTTCCTGCAGGATGAGATCTGATCCCCCGTCGTCCAGCCTCTTGACCACGCCTCACTTTCATTCCTTCTCATTCTTCTTTCTTGCATCTCTCCCACTATTTCCGATCCTCCACGATTCACCATGTCCGACGAACCGGACCAGAAGCTCACCAATTACCGCCGCAACGCCTCCACCCTCAACGATGCCATCCAGAGCATCGGCATGGGCGCGTATCAATGGCAGCTCTTCGTGGTCATTGGCTTTGGCTGGGCGAGTGACAATCTCTGGCCCATCGTGACCTCGCTCATTCTGAGTCCCGTCACCGAGGAATTCCATATCGCCAGTCCGCCCTTTCTGACCCTGGCGCAGAATATTGGTCTGCTGCTCGGGGCCGTCTTCTGGGGGTTTGGCTGCGACATCTTCGGCCGGCGCTGGGCCTTCAATCTGACCATCGGCCTGACGGCGCTGTTTGGCCTGGTGGCCGCCGCCTCGCCCACCTTCGCCGCCGTCTGCGTCTTTACGGCGCTCTGGTCCATCGGCGTGGGTGGCAATCTGCCCGTCGACTCGGCCATCTTTCTGGAATTCCTGCCGGGGTCCCATCAGTATCTGCTCACCGTGCTGTCGGTCTACTGGGCGCTGGCCCAGCTCCTGGCCAATCTCGTGGCCTGGCCGATCCTGGGGAACCTGACCTGTCCCGACGCAGAGACCTGCACCCACCACAACAACATGGGCTGGCGCTACTTTCTCATCGCCATGGGTGGGCTCGCGCTGGTCATGTGTCTGATCCGCTGGATCTGCTTCACCCTCTACGAGTCCCCCAAGTTCCTCATGGGCAAGGCCCGCTACCAAGAAGCCGTCGCCGTCGTGCACGAAGTCGCCCGCCGCAATGGCCGATCGTCCGCGCTCTCCGTGGACGACCTCCGCATCGACCCGGACACCGATCGCCAAGCGGTGCCGACCACCGACCTCGTCCGCCAGCGCCTCGAGAAGCTCAGTCTCACGCACATCCGCGCGCTCTTTGACACCCCGCGCCGCGCCTGGTCCACGGCCCTCCTCATCGTCGTCTGGGCCCTCATCGGGTTGGGCTTCCCGCTCTACAACGCCTTCCTCCCGTACATCCAGCAGACCAAGGGCGCGGAATTCGGCGACGGCTCGGTCGCGCTCACGTACCGGAACTCGCTCATCATCGCCGCCGCCGGATTGCCGGGCAGTCTCGTGGGCGGCGTCCTCGTCGAGATCCCCTACCTGGGCCGCCGGGGCGCCATCAGCTCCTCCGCCGTGCTGACCGGCGCCTTCCTGCTCGCCTCCACGACCGCCACGACCTCCGCGGCGCTCCTGGGCTGGAACTGCGCGTACAGCTTCACCAGCAGCGTGCTCTACGCCGTGCTGTACGCCTACACGCCCGAGCTGTTCCTGACCAAGGACCGCGGCACGGGGAATGCCCTGACCGCCGCGGCGAACCGGGTGGGGGGGATTTTGGCGCCGATCATCGCGCTCGTCGCCGACCTGCGGACCAGCGTGCCGGTGTATGTGAGTGGGGGGTTGTTTGTGGTTGCCGGGCTGGTGGTGTTGCTGATCGGGTATGAGTCGCGGGGGAAAGCGAGTTTATAATAGACTTAAGGGTTCCCAGTCTTTCTCCGCTCAGCGTGGACCCCCGATTCCTCCGGGGACCCGGACCGAGTCGATCTCTGGGTCCGTGGATGCCATCATTTGATCGAGCGCTGTCGGGATGAGGTTTCCCCGGCTGGCTGGTGTCCAGTAGCCCTACTCGGGGAATGTCTCCGTAGAAACGTATTGCAATCACATCCAATCCCATCCGAACCTAGTTGATCTATCCATCCCCGCTGTCTCGAAGTCGTTCTCCCCCGTATCCGATGGTGAACCGCTCACATCCACTCATGACATCATCATCCACTTCCCAGCCCGAATCAACAAATCCTCCACTTCGGCGCCTTCCATCAATCATATCGGATTGGTGATTTGGGGATCAGTTTCTTGACGCGAATTGAATGGACGGAAGGATGCGAGGTTCGGCGTGGATGACATCACCCTGGCGTCGAGCGTTGCGTTAGTTATAAACCGGGAGATTCCCTGCCGGCCTATTGATCGATCTGCGTCTTTCTCTTCCATCTTCATCGTCACCTTTACAATTGTCCTTGTTTTATTGCTGCGAGTCAAATCGTGGCCATTGATACATCTCTACGAGTCATCATCATGGGTCATCACAAACACGGCACTCCTAGGCTCCACCGGTAAGGTCTCCGTCAACCATCTACGAGCATCCAAAGTGCTAACTCCCCCCCCTCCAGGATTGGAAAATGGCAGCCGTCCACGCACGCCGAACAGCTGGAATGGCTCGGCGGGGTGATCGCGCATGTCGACAAACACAAGCCGAAGCCACTGCATCCGGTGCTCGAGGAGTTCCAGCAGCTCATCGAGACCAACACCCGCGTCTACCTGCTCATCTGCGCCATGCTCATTGAGGTCCCGGAGAAGCCGCAGTACAGCACCGACCCGACCGGCTGCCCGCAGATCCGCAACTACAAGCATCTCCTGCACGTGCTCAACTACCTGCTCACCACGGCGCCGAGCTGGAACGACTTCTCGCACCGCGTCGGCCTGGTCGGCCTGCCCATCAACGCGGTGCTGGACTGGAGCATGGGCACGCCCAGCGGCTATGCGGCGTATCTGGACCCGGAGATCAACGCGATGCTCAAGAAGGTGCTCAACGCGTGGGGCGAGTTCCTGACGCACCACGACTCGGCCGCCGTGCTCGACGACTCGGCGAACGGGTGGTTCGGCCCGACGGCGCGCCAGGACCTCATCGAGGTCGCCAACCTCGGCGCCACGTCCCCCCGCCCCTTCGAGGAGATGTTCGTGTGCGACCCGGCCGCCCAGCACCACGGCTTCAAGTCGTGGGACGCCTTCTTCACGCGCGAGTTCCGCGAGGGCGTGCGCCCCGTCGCGAGCCCGGACGACGATGCGGTCCTTGCCAACGCGTGCGAGTCGCAGCCCTACAAGCTCGCCCGCCACGTCCAGGACCGCGACCACTTCTGGCTCAAGACCCAGCCGTACTCCGTCCGCGACATGCTCAACCACGACCCCTTCACCCCGCAGTTCGTCGGCGGCACCATCTACCAGGCGTTCCTGAGCGCGCTGAGCTACCACCGCTGGCACGCGCCCGTCCGCGGCACGATCGTCAAAGCCTACGTCATCGACGGCACCTACTACTCCGAGCCGCTGTACGAGGGCATCGGCAACCCGGACCGCGACCCCAAGCACCCCGAGACGCAGCAGATCGACTACGCGGGGCAGGTCGACGCGCAGGAGTACAACACGGCGACGGCGACGCGCGCCGCCATCTTCATCGAGGCGGACCACCCGGGCATCGGGCTGATGTGTTTCCTGGGCGTGGGCATGTGCGAGGTCTCGACGTGCGAGATCACCGTGCAGGAGGGCCAGCGCGTCCAGAAGGGCGACCCGCTCGGCATGTTCCATTTCGGCGGCTCGACCCACTGCCTGCTCTTCCGCAAGGGCGTGCAGGTCGAGGGCTTCCCGGATCCGGGTCTGAGACGTAATGTGCCGGTGCGGAGTCATCTGGCCAAGGTGCAGGCGTGAACATCCTTGTATTGGTACATATAATGGGACTTGCCGTAGATCTCAACAAGATGCATCTGCATTATACACTATCTATCCTCTCCTCTTCTCCTCTCCTCTTCTCCTCTCCTCTTCTCCTCTGGTACCTCTAGCAGATCGACAAGCCAAGACCGCCAAGCGAGCCAAGCTCCACGGCCTCGCCGGCAAGAGATCCAGATCCAGATCCAGATTCGGATCCAGTGCCAAACATCCACAACCCCACTAAGCTAAACTAGCGTGAAGCATCAGTTGCCTCGTAGTCGTAGTCGTAGTCGTAGACCATAGTCTATCAAAACAAAGAATCCTATCCTCCACCCCAAGCATCCCCGCCCTTACTACTACACTTCCTGTCGAAAGCGTAGGACGAGAGTTATCAACCCCGTGAGCCGGCTGACAGTCGCCCGAGTCCGACGCCGGCCCAAGCATGTTTTACATCAACGGCAGTGAAAGTGGAAGTGGAAGTGGAAGTGGAAGGCTGGTTCTAGTTCTGGTTCTGGTTCTGGTGTATTTCCTTTCGTTTTATGTCTCTTGACTCCTATGACTCATGACTACTATGACTATTCTATTTATGTATGCACTTGGGTATCGCGATCTCGTCTCCGCAATTCCGCAACGCGGGTGGCTGTTTTCGGATTGGAAGTAAAGTGATCTGGTGAGAATGGTTTGGATATAGGATATAGGATATAGGATATAGGATATAGGATATGGGAGTGCTCTGCTGTGCTGTGTTTGGGTTGGATTGGGTTGGATTGGAAATTTGGAGGACATGGGGTTAATTTGAGATGGAATTTGGGTGTTTGAGAAGGAGAGTAGAAATATAAGTAGAAGGAGAAGTATAAGGATACGGTGCATGGTTCTATGCAGGATACGAGACACAACCGTGCTATGGTTTACCAACAACTGAAACGGTGCCTACATTTTTCATTCCACTTATGGGATGGGTATATGGAAGGAAGCAAAAAGGATACAACCGTGCTGCGACACCACATAGCAAGCAGGCTTGCAACAAGATGCAGGTAGCTTTCTTTCGAATCCATCATCTAAATGATCCCATTCATTGTTTATGAATCACCCCCCAATCGCCCTCCGCCCAGGACGCCTTCATCTGAAAGGCCGCAATCTTCCACAGCCCACTCGCCTCCTCCTTCACCAGCTCCGCATAGTACTGCGCCCCGGCCAGGAGCCGCGGCTGGGCCGGCTCCAGCCCCTGCCCGCCGAGGAAGTGCTGGGCGAGCACCGAGGCCGTCGCCGCGGCCGTGCCGCCACTCTCGGCGATGTGGACGCGGACGTTGGTGATGAGGTGCGAGGTGTCCAGGTGGCCGACCAGGTCGAAGCAGTCGGCGTGGATGGCGGGAAGGCCCTCGGAGACCTTGCCGTTGACGGCGAAGGTGGCGGTCGGCGTGAAGGCCGAGTCGAAGAGGTTGGGGTCGTTGTTGTCCAGCCCGAGGACGAAGCGATACAGGGCGTCGGTGATGGCTTCGCGGCCGCTCAGGGCGGGGGCGAGGGTTGTGGGGAGCGAGGGGATGGATGTCATGGTGATAATGGGACTGGTTAGGAGGTGGGAAGGAAAGTAGAGGGAAGTTGATTGAACGGGTGAAGTGAAGAGGATCCAAGCATGCCATTATATATATATATATATATAGCCCTTCGTCGTTATCTCCGTGGGGGCCATTTTTAGTCTCCAGGAAACGGAGTTCGGCCTCATTCGGACATTACATACATGATCTCCACTCCTGCTCTTACATATACTGTCTACGGGGTTTAGTTGTCATCATCCTTCGGCCGCTATCTTGGGATTGTCAGCGTTTGTTCGCAGCCGGGGAGAGGCTCCAACGGATGGCATTCCCCCAGGCAGTTTCAGAACACTGCTGTCTAAAGGCTCTGGCTCCAGGGCTAGCCACGGACTGGAGGACACTGAAGCTTCCCAGTGAACTCGCCATGATATCTTCATCCACTCAATGCTTATTGGATGATCTACCTGTGTGTCAAGGCTGAATGGCAGGCTGAATGCTCGTATCACGGGATCACGGGATCGCCCGACTGACGGACGACATCGAAATGACGGACTGAGTCAGTAGGAGTAGTTCTGTTTATGACAGGAGTTAAGAGTTCACAACTTCAACTCCCCCAACCAGCACTCGACAATGAAATCCCTCGCCGGCTTGATCAGCTGGATTCCCTCGCCCTGGGCCCACAAGACATCAAATGCCAATCCACCCGCCCAACAGGTCGGCTCCTTGGAGGACCTCCCACTGGAGATCCTCTACCTGATAGCCGAGTCCCTCGACCCAGCCGCCAAAGCCTGCCTCTCACTCTGCAACCACCGTCTCCACGGCCTCTTCGGGCAGAAACACCCGTTCCGCATCCGCACCGAGGCCTGGCACACCCTCCACACCAGCCTCGCCCGCGGCCACCCGTCGCTCATCTACTGCCGGCTCTGCGCCCACGTCCACCGGCGCGAGGACATCAGCCCGCCCGGCCCGGCCTGGCAAACCACGGCCTCGTTCCCGCGCCACGGCACCGAGCCGGCCATGCGCGGTCTGCAGTGGTGTCTCGCGGTCCACCAGACCGAGTCCCTCTACCAGTTCAACTACATGCACGTCCAGCTCGCCATGAAGCGGCACGCCTGCGGACCCGAGCACGGGATCGCGACGGCCGACCTCGCCCACGTCGAGGTGCTGACCGTCCCGTCGCGCCGGCTGACCAGTCTCCTGTCGGTGGAGGCGGAGGTGTGTGCTGCGCCCCGCGGGCAGGCGAGTCTGTGTCTCCGGCTGCAGAACTGGGCGCTCCTGCGCGAGCCCCATGTGCATCGGTTGCCGTTCATGAGGATCTGTGCGCATCGTAATGTGCATGTGCCGCATGTGTCGGCGGTCATTCAGAAGGGGCTCGAGGAGTATCGGTGGCGGGCGTTTGAGGCCAGGGAGAGCGGGACGCGGACGGGGACGGGGACGGAGACGCCGAGCGAGCCTCCGCAGACGTTCCATTGTCCCTCGTGCGACACCACGTATCAAGTCGAGGTGCGGACGTGTGGTGATGACGGCGTGGCGGTCGTGGTGACCAAGTGGCTGGATCTGGGGGCCGGGCTGGATCCCCAGGATCACGACTGGACGCGACATATCTTCGGTGACAGGCTTGACCGGAGAGCGGCCATGCATGCCCTGCCAGAGGAGAGTGTCCGCACGCGGTTTGAGCGCAGCAGTGCCGTTTCGCGGGAGGACCTGACCAGGCGCAACAGCGGTCTGCTGGAGGGAAGGGCGTATACGCGGAAGATGGACCACTGGTTTGACCATGTGTGGGTGCTGCAGGGGAATAAACGGCTGCCGATCTACTGCTACCTGCCACCGAAGAAGAACGTTCTTGCGTCGCAGGTGCGACATCGGAGTTGATGCTATGCGATCGAGACTGATGGGATGACTGCCGGGCTGTGTAGAGAAAGGAAAACGTCTAGTCTATAAGTGCGAAAAAGCAAAAAAAATCAGAACTGCTCAGCGCTGTAGTTTCACCCCCCAGCCGCTGTTGCATCAATGCATCCAAATCCCCCGTCTCCCTCTAGAACGCGCTGACTCCATGCGACTCCTCCACTTCCACGCCCATCCCATCAAACCACCGTTGAATCTCAACAGCCTGCGCATCCGCAGACGTCCAAAGACCCCCATCTCCCCCGGGCTGGCCCCGCGCAAGCAACCCATGCTGCACCGCCAGCGCCGCCCCAACCCGACTCGCCATCCCCCTCGCCAGCCGCCGCGAAATCCACACCCCGGTCTCCACCACCTTCCCCAGGTCCACCCCGGTATACACGCCCGCGCTCTCAAACAGATCCACCAGATCCTCCGTGGCCGCGTTCCCCTTCGCGCCCGGCGCATACGGACACCCGCCCAGCCCGCCCACGCTGCTGTCGAACACCCGCACCCCGCACCCATACGCCGCCCACACATTCCCCACCGCCTGCCCGTACGTGTCGTGGAAATGGCCCGCCAGCCGCTCGACGGGGATGCCGCCCGCGCACAGGTCCGCGATCAGCCCGCGCACCTGCTCCGCCTCCCCGACCCCCAGCGTATCCCCCAGACTCACCTCGTAGCAGCCCATGGCGAGCAGCTCGCGCGTGCAGCGCCGCACGGCCGCGCGGTCCGTGCGCCCGTCCACGGGGTCCGCGAAGATGCACGAGACGTACCTGTGGTGCGTGGGTTAGCCAGTCATCCCCTCCATCCCCCTTCCTCGGGAGCCGTTGACTCACCCCCGAACAGCAAGTCCAGCGTCGCGCGCCTTCTCGGCCACGTTGCGCGCCCGCTCCAGCCCCTCCGCCACGGAGCACTTGATGTTCGCCTGGCTGAAGCCCTCCGTGGCGCTGACGACCACGGCGACCTCGGTGGCCCCGTGTGCGAGTGCGGTCTCGAGCCCCTTGAGGTTGGGCACGAGCACGGGTAGCCGGAGGCCGGCGTCGTGCTGCATCTGGCGGATGTGCGGGTCGTCGAGGATGGTGCGGCAGTCGGCGAGCTGGGGGATGGCGCGGGGCGAGACGGCCGAGGTGAGCTCGATGGAGCGCAGACCGGTGGCTTGGAGGCGGCGGATGAGCTCGAGTTTGGTTTCGGTGGGGATCTGGTCTTGGATGTTCTGGAGGCCGTCGCGGGGGCCGACTTCGACGATGCGGACGGTATTAGGGATTGTCATGATGATCCGTCGAGGAGAAGTTTTGGGTTGGGTTGGTTTGATGTCCTAGGAGGTGGAATTCTGATTATGGGCCGGACATTAGAGTCAGTCCCCGGGGAGGGTGGATTTACGACTTCTTATATCCTCATGTCAAGCTGATAGGAAATAAAAAAGAAGAAATAAGATCAACTTCTACGCTGACGTGCACATGTCCGGCAGTCGGACATGCGGATCGAGACAATGGCTTCATATCTATCCCATGACGCCATGCGTTGCATTCCGCAGCCAAGACCCGGGAGTAGTATGGGAAAATGGGGGAAAGAGATCGAGTGGTCCGACGGAGACATAAAGTTCATTAGCCTATAGTCCGCAAACAGTGCTATTTGATCCCGTAGACTAGTAGGATTGGTAAGGAAGGGCGAAACTCCATGGCCCATGCAGACTGTCTAGAAAAGGAGGAACCGCGGTTCGGACCCGCCCGGCTCCCATACATGATACAATGGATATGGCAATACTCAGTCAGACCTTCTATCATATTCCGTACATGTTATGAGCTGTACTCCATTATTGTCTGCGATGCTATCTATCGAGCAGACTGGGCGGCAGACGATAGATGCTGGAAGTTGCCCTAACTTCTTGATCATCCAGCGTACTCCGTAGATCAGCCCAATGAATGCTCTCGGTCTTGTCCTTGCCTCGGAATAGCACTTCGCCTGATGAATGATACCCGGCAGGCTTCTCTCGATCCTGTGCACGAGGCCGATTGACTATCCTGAGACGGCCGGTGCCATAGATGGGTTCTGGTCAAGAGCATCTTCATGGCTAGTTTGGTCTGCCAGGCCAGGCTTAGTGCCTCCCTCTACCAACGGCTCTCTCTTTTGAAGTAGCTTCTTATGATGTGTTCTCATGCATCTACTCGCTGGCTCTATGGTGCAGTTCAGACACAGTATGGCCAGGCTGCTTGTGCTTCGCTGGACGGAAAACAAAACTAGCTTAGTATGCACGCATGCACTTATGCACTAGGTGAAATCTCCTGGAGGACACACCGCCAGACTTGTCGTCCTAATGTTTTTTTTTTGGTGTCAACCGTGATATCCGCCGGGGAATTTGAATGACCCGGCATCCAAGAACCACACACAACCCATAACCACTCCCTGTCATGGCTTGCATTCTGCATCTCCCTGATGAAATCCTGCAGCAGATCCTCAACCGTGCTGCCCGGGATCGGGAAAGTCCCGTCCGGAGGGGCAGCATCGAGCATGACCCGGAGATCCTGATGACCCTAGCCGTGACATGCCGCCGGTTCAGCCGTATCGCGCTGCCTCTCCTCTACCGCAGCATCAGCTTCACACTGGACCCGCCAGCCAAACATCTGCAGAAGCTGCAAGCCGTTCTTGCAAGCAGCCACTTGCTCCGATACCACTGTCGGACGCTCCGCATCAGGGTCACCGACATCTGGCCACTGCCAGATGAATACTTTCCCCTAATGAATGATCTGATCTGTAGCCTTCCCCACGTGCAGTCTCTAGTTTTCAATGGAGGTTACGGGACGAACCCTGAAGAGATGTGGACGATGGTCCGCCTGGCATCCGAGAATATGCCCCATGCTCGGTCTCTCTCGCTCAGCCGGGTATGCGACGGTCTTCATGTACGGGACATCCTGGAGCATGTTGATTTCCCGTCGCTTCAAACGTTGGATCTCCACGGTATCTACAGACCAGAGAACGCCCCGGAGGCAGAGGACATCCTAGATCCAAAGGTATCCCGACCAGTCAGCATTCTCGGGCGGACAAGGTCTTCTCGGCTGCAGCCCCCACCCCCAGGAGAGCGAAAGCTGACCGGCTCACCAGAAGCATCGGACTGCCATGTTCACCTCGCTCTCCTTTTCCGACTACGAAGAGAGCCCGAAAGTCACGGAGCAGCTCCTGAACTGGCCCAAAGCGCTTGTTCACTTTCGCTTTGCCAGCTTCTACAACAACCCCTTTTACATGGACCTCCCGATGTTTGGCACCTGGCTCTCCATCCATCGAGAGACGCTCCGGTCAATCGATATCGGCTATCTATCGAGTGACGGGGCGGGCCGTCTCTTCGGCGCGACTGCCTTCCCCAAACTAGAGGTCCTGACACTCTCACCCCACCAATTGGGCGCGTGGAGGTCGCGGACAGCGAGCGAGTGGAGGGTATCTCCGGCCGCCGACGCCGATTGCCTCCTCGCCCCCCGCCTCCACACGTTCGGATTGGACTTTTCCATCTATGACCAGCACAGCGAGGCATGGACCGATTTCGGAGACGCAGAAGAGCGTTGGGTCCGCGAGTTCGCGAAAGTGGCCGTGGCCAGAAAGGCGGCGCTCCGGAAGATCATGATCACGTTCACTCCTGAGCCGTGGGGGCTCAGCAGGGAGGACGGGTATCCGTGGGATCGGATGGATCAGATCTGTGAGGATCTTCGGCCGCATGGACTCGTCTTGGAGTATAATGAGCCGGTCTTGACCAAGGATGAATGGCGGAAGAAATTTGAGGCCGTTCCTGGTCCGACGCTGGATATACATCGCGAGTACTAGAACTTTATAGAGCAGCTACGGAGTGTGTTCTACCATTTGGTTCTTCGGCGAGACAGAGTAATGGATCCTACCACAAAACGAAGCTGATCATTCCCAATTCCTCGTTTGCCAACCTCAGCCGACAATTCAATCTACTAAGCTTTAACCAACACAGAACATGAGTCATGCTAGCGAGCTTTCTTCTGCACTTCTCCACCTGTTGGAGCCTTGGAACTGGAAGCTGGAATAACCGGCATCTCCCAGTCCCTATTGTCTCTCCCATTCGAACAAGTCATACCCATTCGAGCAAGTGATAGTCCTGCAGCTGGAGGCCTTATGTCCTTAGCGTATGCACTTTTCCATTCCGGCCTGTCCGGATGACGCCGCCCTGCATGAACCCGTCCAGTGAATGTCGTTAATCCCCGAGTCACAATTCAGCTCCCTCGACTAAGACGATGGGTATAAAACGTCGGCAGTCTGCTGCCCCGACCCCTCATGGCATCAGGTTCCCCCCACGGTCTCAATCTCATTTCCGACATGTTCTCGCAGCTGGTGCTTTCTTTGCTCTTTAGCATTCCAGCCCTTGCGGCACCGGCACCGGCATCTCCTGGTGGCTGCAAGGCTCCGGGAGGCCCGCCGGACATCAGTTCATTGAGCACTCTGCAAGCGTTGAAGTACAACGACCTGGGCGCCCAGAACAACGGAACTGCGGCCGTCTTGGTCCATGATCGGGTCACCTACGGACAAGCCCAGGCGTTGTGCTCTGCCATCGGAGAGACTCTGTACCCGCTGCACGATGCGCCCGAGAACAACCGCACCGAGCTCCAGTATCAGTTCAACTACCTGGTTTACAACCACGACCTCCGCGGTACCGACCAGGTGTGGGTGGCCCAGGCCTCGTCCCAGGATTGCTCGGCCTACTCGCTCAGCCGCAAGGCGATCGTCGACGTCCCCTGTCACCTGCGGCTACCCGCCCTTTGTACGTCCACGGTGCCCCCCACGACCGACACCACCAGAGAGGTGGTCGAGTCCTCAAAGATCTCCGTCGGGTGGGACGGTTACACCTGGACCGGTTCTCGGGATGCACGGTCTTTCCGATTCGTGGGAGTTCCGTTTGCCAACCCGCCGGTCGATGACTTGAGGTTCGCACCACCCCAGCCGTACAGTGGGCCGAAGAAGCTGGATGCGACCACGTTCTCCGCGTCGTGTATCCAGACCATCTCCGCCTACGGGACCCTGGGTGGCCGAGGCATCTCTGAGGACTGCCTGTATCTCAACATCTACACGCCGGTTCTGCCCGCAGCGGCGCACAAGAACCCCGCGCGTAAACCCGTGGCGGTCTACTTCTACGGCGGTGCGTTCATCCAGGGCAGCGCGTCCATGATCGACTACGACGGAGGCAACTTCGCCAGCCGCAACGACGTCGTCGTGGTCACGGTCAACTACCGCGTCGGCGCGCTGGGCTGGCTGGCCACCGGCAACCTCACGACGGGAAGCTACGGCACGCGCGACCAGATCCTGGCCCTGGAATGGGTCAACACGTACATCGAGGCGTTTGGCGGCGACAAATCCCGCATCACCATCTTCGGCCAGTCCGCCGGCGGCCAGAGCGTCGTCGCCTTGCTCTCGTCCACCGCCGCACGCGGGCTCTTCTCCGCCGCCATCGTGCAGTCCGCACCCCTCGACCTGCCCTGGTTCACGCGCAGCGTCTATCGCGACCTCGTCACCCCAGAGATCGCCAAAGCCGTGGGCTGCGGACAAGGCAACCGCACCACGTCCGAAACCCAGCTCCTTGCCTGCCTGCGCTCCGTGCCTGCCTCGGCCTTCTTCGACAACACCACCGAATTCCAGGCCGCTCTCAGTGCCAGCACCCAGAAGGTCGCCGCCTCCTTCCTCCACTCCTCGCCAATGCTCGCCTCCATCGAGCCGCTCATGCCCATGGTCGACGACGCCGGCTCCGGCGTCATAGACGACCAGTTCCACCTCCTCCTCGCCACCGACTCCCTCCCCAACCGCGTCCCCACCCTCTTCACAACCGTCACCGACGAGGGCGGCCTCTTCGTCGGCCGCTTCGTCCCCGAACTCGCTCCCACCCAGGCAAACCTCAACCTCCTCCTCGGCCTGTCCTACCCGCCCGGCCTCGCCAAAGCCCTCGCCGCCTCCGGCGCCTTCCCCCTCGACGCCTCAGACCCCGACACCGTCCGCATCACCGGCATCCACGCCCTGACATCCAGCGAATGGACCTGCCCCCAAGCGCACCTGCTCGCGCTCGCCTCCAACGCCTCCAGTTCCTCTGCCCGTGTCCCCAACAAACCCTTCCCCGCCCTCTACGCCCTCCAGATCGCCAACGGCCACATCCAATCCCCCACCAGCGCGCCCGCCATCTGCTCCCCCAACCCCGTCTACAACGCCACCTGCCACTCCGCCGACGTGCTGCCCGTCTGGGGCACCCTGGACGCCAAAACCCGCGCCGTCGCCCCGTACTACTCGCCCGCCGACCACCTGCTCTCGCAGCTGCTCGCCGATGTCTTCGCCGCGTTCTTCCGCGCCCGCTCGCCCAACCCCAGCGTGCACATGCTCGCCCGCCGTGGGCCCGCGTATGCGCACTCCAGGGCCGTTTTTGAGCACTATCATATCGCTGAGTATGATGCGGCCGACGCGGACGCGGAGGTCGCGGTGTTGGGGTATGAGCCTGGGTGGGTGCGGAATCCCGGGGGAGGAGAGCAGTGTCGGGTGTTTGGGGAGTTTGGGTATACATTTGAGAGGGCGGGATGAGGGGGTGTGCAAAGAGATGGGATAGGATAGAGTTGGGTAGGTTTGGTATTTTGATTTGATTTGGTTTTGGGTTTTCAATGTTCATGCGAATGACAATCAATCTTTAATGATGCATTGGGTTGGAGTAAGTGAGAGAAGTTGTACCTATACCTATACCTATACCTATACCTACTATGACTAGCTGGTTTACGCCATATGCCTGCCCCCCCCCCCCCCCTTCCCCGTCTTGCCTGGAGTGGAACCGAACATACCATACCATACCATGCCATATTATAGAACCCTGAATACAGAAGAAGAAGAACAAAAAAAAAAGAATTTATGTCAATCAACGCCATCCATCCAGATATCCCGTATGCAAAAGAAATTCGTAACTTCGTCACTTCATCAAGTAGAGAAATCACCGCTCATACATCGTCGCCCGCCGCCCAGACCCAGACCCCGCCACCGGAGCCGGATACTCCATGTCCACCACGCTCACCCCCCTCTTCCCCGGCGGCGGACTTGCCCACCCGGCCCGCGTCCGGCCGCTGTACGAGCGTGTCCGCTCGCGCTCGCGGTCCCGCTCGACGGGATAGACATGCGCTTGCACTTGCGCTTGGGAATGCGTCCGGGCATGTGCGTGCGCGGTGTCACGGTAGCTGGTGCTTGCGCGCCGCGGCTCGTCGACCACGTAATCATATTCGTAGTCCGGGTGGCGGAGGTACGGGTCCGGGACGCCGTTGACGTAGCGGGTGTGGACGTGGGCGTAGACCGGGGAGTCGGGCATGGACGGCTCGGCTTGGGGATGGGGTTGTTGCTGCGGGTCGTGGAAGATGTGTTCGCGGAAGCGCACGCCGCCGGGTCTGCAGGCGGGGAGCGGCTCGTTGGCGTGGAGGCGGGATTGCGCGGGTCGAGGTTTACGCGCCCCGTCGGAGTCGTAGAGGCGCGTGGAGGGCGCGTGGATGTCGCGGTGGGTGTGTCGGCGCGGCGAGTCTGGGGAACCGTCCCGTTTGGGGCGCCGGGCGTAGGCTTCGTGGGAGTGGCGCCGGGCGTAGGAGCGGGGAGGGGAGAGGTTGCGGCGGTGGCTGTGCCGGTCCGGTGGGCTCGGTGCTGTTGGTGCGGTGGGTTCGGTCGTCGTCTGCGGTGGGGTTCCCGAGTCTTCGGATGATGCGTCGGAGGTCTCGTGGCCCAGCGCCGCACCGAGGCTGGACGGGTAGACGAAGGATTTGGGGCGCTCGCGGCCCCTGGATTTGGTGGACTTGGAGGTCCGCCGAGGCGGCGAAGGCGCTTCAAAGGCTTCAGGGGACACGAAGTCGGGCTCGTCCTCTGGACGCGGGAAATACGTCGATTTGACCCGTCGCGTGGCAGAGGGCCGGTATTCGGTGCTCCGTCGTCGGCTCTGCTGGCTCTTGCGCTGCCCGTCGTCCGTGTCCACGGATCGACGGGGATGTGCCGTGTGGTGGTCACGCGGGGGTTCCTCCTGCGCAGCAGGCGCGTCCTTCTGACTGAACACGGTGTGATACGTGCGGAAATTCGGCGGCGAGGCCTTCAGCACGTTCTTCTTCCAGTAGTCGAATTCGAAGCGCCGGCTCACGCCTTCGTGCCACTCCACCATCTCCGGGTCGGGCTCTGAGGGAAAGGCATCGCGGGGGAGGAGCTTGGGGCATGCTGTCCCGTTTGGAAGCTCAATGTTCCACAGGCTCACGGCATTCTGAAGGTACTGTGCATGCTCGTCGGGGTCCAGGAGGAGCTGGATGGTCTGCCACCGCACGAACCCATTCGGCTGCAGCGCCGGGATGGAGGGGGGCTTGAAGGGATCGTTCGAGGGCTGGATACTGTGGAAACACCCGAGACGCTGGTAGATGAATGACAGAGCCGAGGGTTTCGTATCGAGGAAGAGGAGGTCGTAATTGCCGCCGACCTTGCGGTAAAAGGCGGCCATCCGGTCGGGGGTGAGGTCGGTCGTCGCATACTCATCGAAATTGATCTGTAGACAACCATCAATTATCGATTGTTCCAAAGCAAGAAACGTCTACGGACCATGACCTGCGCAATCCCCAGACACAGCTGCTCCAACAATGGAGCAGGACTCTTATCAGGATTGATCAGCACTCCCCACGAATTCGCGCCCGCGTTGGCATCGTGGGCTGGGGACATGACCGGGCGGATGAAGAGAGCCACGGCGACTGAGAGACAACACTGGGCATCTGGCAAAGCCCGATCGCTGGATAAATACGAGGAAGAGATCAAAGAGCGTGAGTATGTTTTTTTTTTTTTTTTTTTTTGATTGTTTTTGGATCAAAAGAAAGACAAGACAAGACAGACAGCTCACAAAGAACAGGCAACCAAAGCAGGTGAAGTCAAAGCACAGCAAAACCGGTCAGGCACTCATTTTGGCGGCGCTCCACTGCGGGGAGTTGGCCTGAGGCCTAACAGCATTTGGTTTGCTGACACGAAGCCACCTCAATCCGCCTCATCTGCAATCGAACCCGAGGAAAAGGATCGATGATTGCTCGGGGAGCTCGATGGAAGATGGGACATGTGTGTCGGTGCGGAATTGGATCTGCACGAGGCTGTTTTGGTGTTTTGGCGTGGGTTGACGGCCTGACAGCCCTGCATGTGATGGGAATTTGTGGCAGTTGGATTGGATGCTGTTGAGCTGTTCCCTCTAGGACCTCGAGGACTGCAGTTGATACATATATTGAGTCGAGTATAGTCCGTGATAGTCCTCCATGATGGGTCAGATTGGCTTAATTGGGTGGAACGATGGTCGCGCTTATGGAGTTTTATCGCAGCGGACGAGGCAATCGGATTGCTGCTGCATTGCTTCGACTCCTGAAGGTCTCAACAATTGCAATATCTCGCATTAACTAGCTAGAGCTAACTAACTAACTACTCATATGTATACAGCACATCTCTTATCTGCATCTGCAGCGTTTGTTGTGGAATGCATGGATATGTACTCCGTACACCCAGAGATGCGCCATCACTTCCTAATAGTTCCTACCTACTACAAGAATCACAAACATACAATTGGAGATCTGACGATCACCACTAACCAAAGTATACCTTAGAAACTCAGACGCCGTTCTGGACGAATCTCATCCGACCAGTGTCGATCCAGACCATTCCGTAGCCTGTGTGCCATACCTGCCCGCCAGCTGGAATGTTCCCCAAGCAATGTGAATAGGCACATACTCGGGAGTATTTTTGTACATTCCTCATCCTACTCACCTTGTTTTTCGGTGTTTTGATTTTTCCTCTTATTCAGGCCATGTCTCCCTATCCACTGCTGCGGGACTGATTCCTTACCATTTGCCCGTCGGACACCACAAATCATCAGCGAAGTATTCGATATCTTCAACTCGCCACAGCCCAGCGGCTGTGTTCGTCTCCAGCTTCGCCGACGGGGCGTTTGGTGTACCCCCTACCCCGTCGTGTTGTCCAAAGGCTAGAACTCAGTGTCGAACATACTGACGCGTGAACGACCCAACCACCCTGTACACCACAACCAGCGCGCAAGATCAATGTGCCTCCCACAAAGCGACTAAAGATGGCACTTGTGAGGGATCCGATGTTCTGGAAGCGATTCTCGCGCGCAGTCCATCTCGACGAGGAAGCCAAGGCGGCTGCAGGCGGCAAGAACAATAGCAACAGTAACAACAACCACTCGTACGTCGTCCTCCTCAATGCGCCCTGTTCAAGGATACTGACCAAACAGGGACAACTGGATCCAGGCCCAATACCGCAAGAAGCGACGGAGCATCATCTGCGGCTTTTTTATCTTCCTGGCCATTGCCAGTCTGGTTGCCGGGATCATCGTCGTCCTTCTCTGGCTCAACTCGCGCCACTGGCTGCAACCGCAGAGGCATAGCACATGAAAGAGAAGCTGGAAATATCATTATAGCGGTGTTGCGTGTCCGGGTTCAATTCCATTCCGGCTGAGTGAGCCGGTCTCATATCCTGCTCTTGTATGGCGTTCCAGGTGTTGTCTAAATCCAATATACCCAAGTGTAAAACCACCCTCGATGTGTGTTATCTGTGCTCTCGTGGAATGCCATTAGTGATTTGCTCCGATGAGCGAGATAGGAGCATGACCTACGGAGTAGTTATCTAGATACTGTACTCACCGTCGCTGCGTCGGCTTTTTGTCCGCTGGGAACTCTACCGCATGGACTTTCCGAATTGGTCGCAGATAGCCGGCGTTCGGCAGTCGCTTGGTCACGTGCTCTGTCTCTTCCTCCTTTTCGTGTCCTCGATTTTGCTGGTTCAAGAGGCTATATGTAAGTCTAGATCCTACATGCTAGAAGCTTCTCTCAACTATATATATCTCTCTATCAAACCCAATCCTGTACTACATCTATAGATGCGCTTTTGTTGTTTGTGATACCTCAGGCCAGACTCCGACGCTTATCTGCGGGCCTTATCGCTGTTCTCCGCACCGCTGGTTTCCCCGCAATAAATACAACAGCATCACCGCTGGAGTTATCGTGATTCTCTTCCTCTCTTCCTCTCTTCCTCTTGTGCTCTCGTGCTCTCGTGCTCTCGGTAACTTTTCGTTCTTTCTTTATTTCTTTCTCTTGCAGCCTCCAGGATGTTTCCTCCTTTTGACTACTTCACCTATCGTCGAGTTCGGTAAGACCGTATTCATAGCATTTACAACCCCCTCCCTTTGCTAATGTCTTACCACCACCAGGGATCTGAAGAGAAAGGAACGGACCGCCCGTTTCGCATCTCTCCCCCCAGACTATCACACGGCCTTGTCGGCAACTGACCGGACAATCATCAACAAACCCATCGAAGAGCTCGTCGAGTCAGTGCACAACTCCACGCTGTCGTCGACAGATGTTCTCCGCACGTACGGCAAGGTCGCCATCAAGGCGCAAGAACGCACAAACTGCGTGACGGAACTGCTGCTCCCCGAGGCCGAGACATGGGTTCAGTCTGAAGTGAATCTTGCCGGTCCGTTGGCGGGTATCCCTGTCTCCTTGAAGGACTCGATACAGGTCAAGGGGTTTGACACATCTGTCGGGTATGCCCGCATGGCGGGGAAGCCAGCTCTCGACGATGGACCGATGGTAAAGTTGTTAAAGGATGCTGGTAAGTGATCGGTTCATGCACTCTTAGCAACTATACTGACAGCCAGGATCGTAGGTGCCGTTCCCTATGCCAAAACCGCCTTGCCTGTGACCCTTCTGTCCTTTGAATCGTTCAATGGCCTGTGGGGCCGATGTTTGAACCCGCATGTTCCTGCCTACTCGCCCGGCGGCTCGACTGGAGGAGAGGGTGCGCTACTCGCACTCGGCGGCCGCATCGGTATTGGTTCCGATGTTGCAGGATCTGTCCGTGTGCCCGCGGCCTGGAGTGGCATCTACTCGCTGCGCTGCAGTACCGGCCGCTGGCCCAAGGCGGGTGTCAGCACGAGTATGGCAGGACAGGAAGGCATAGCCAGTGTCTTCAGCCCCATGGCTCGCACCTTGAATGATCTCACCTATTTCACGCGAGCGATTGTCCGCATGCAACCGTGGAAGTACGATAACACTGTGCATCCGATTGCCTGGCGGGATGCGGAGGAGAATGAAGCACAGACCAAGAAGCTGCGCATTGGACTGATGTCCACCGATGGTACGATCCGTTGAGCATACCGGATAAGAGGAACCATGACAGTACTAACCTCTTCGCAGGAGTCGTCCCTCCCACCCCCGCGATCGCTCGCGCTGTCGCCACCACTGTCGCAGCCCTCACAGCAGCCGGCCATACCGTCTCCGAAATCACTCCCCCAGCCACTGCTGACCCCTTCACCGGCCTGGACCTCGCCTCGCAGCTTCTCAACTCCGACGGCTGTACCACCTTCAACTCTCACCGCTACAGCTTCGAGCCCACCGACCCGGGTGCCGCACAACTCGCCCGCATCGCCCGTCTCCCCCGCCCCCTTCGCTACCTCTACTACCTCTACGTGCGCTACATCCGGCGCGATTCCAAGTGGGCCGCGCTGATCCGCAGCTTTAACCACAAGTCCGCCGCGGAGCAGTGGAAGCTCGTGGCGAAACGCGAGGCCTTCCGCGCCACCTGGCACTCCTGGTGGGACGCCGAGGCCCAGGGTTACGACTTCATCCTGTGTCCCGTCAACGCCACCCCCGCGCTGCCGCACAAGGCTATGCACGACGCCGTCTCCTCGTGTGGATACACCTTCCTCTGGAACTTACTGGACTACTCGGCCGGCGTGCTGCCTGTGTCGCACGTGGATGCTAAGAAGGATGCACTGCCAGCGCCTTACAAGTCCGTCCTGAAGCAACTGGGCGCGAACCACGCGATTGCGCGCGGCGCGTGGAAGCATTACGACGCTGTGAAGATGGCAGGGCTTCCCACCGCTGTGCAGGTTGTCGGAAGACGTTGGCAGGAGGAGAAGGTCCTGGGATACATGGCTGCTGTGGAAGATGCGCTGGAGGAATATTATGATGCCGAGACGGGAGAGGGCGGGAAGTATCAGCTGCTTGAGATTTGATGCATGTTGTCAGCATCGTGTGTGTGTGTGTGGTTGGCTAGTACAAATGATATCCCTGTCAAATCAGCTGGACTATTCTAGTATGTGTATATCAGTCAGTTTGCAGACCAGTATTCTCACTCACACACACACAACCCCCGTGGTAGCCAGTAAGCACATCTCTCATGCTTGGATTAGGTGGTGTACATATACTCCGTACACCCCAGAAGACTTAAAACTGTCCGTTAATCCTTCATTGCTTCGTTGCCTTCTGGACCGTCGTGGCTTCGACTACTCTATGACGCGCGATTGCATATTGAAACCATGAGCATCCGTGAACCATTTTTCCGGAGTACGTCCTGTCGGTTCTCCAATTGTGTGCTTGTCCCTGGCTCGCGTCGCCTGGCCTGACTTGCAGTTGGAGAAATCTAGATCAGGAGGTTTTCTGGTTCTGTCAACCATTCATGGCTTGACCATGGATACGCAGCTGCCGTTCCAGCATAGGAGAAACAATCAATAAACACGAAATCAGAACACGAAGTCAAAGGGGGAGAAAACAAGAAGCACACCCGATGCCAAAGGGCTTGTTTCTGCTTCGCCAGCCGATCGTCGGTCACGGGATCTCCATCTGCCCCGAAAGACACGATTGATTTACTCTGTGGTTGACTGCAACATCAACAGCTTCGGCTGGAACCAATCTTTCCATCATAGTATCATCTTCCTACTGATTGTTTTCCTGCTGCTTGCAATCCACAAACATCATACCTACCTTCCCTCTCGCTTGTTGATCGGCCTCATTCCGCAGCCCACGATAGCTCCCGTCGATTTGCCCCCCCTCAGAATCAAATCGCAACCACTCCGCGCCGTTCAGCCACTCCGATTTTTTTCGTCCCCTCCCCCGGTTCCGTGTTCTCTGCAAATGAGGATTTCTCTCCTACTATAAGCGCCCCTCCGCTACATACGAAAAGAAGAGAACCGCAGGATGCGGTTCATGCCCTCAACACTGCACTTGCATCACGATCGTAACACCTTAGTTGGGTGATGGGACAGAACACACCGTGGTGGCGATGCCGTTGAGTACACCTGCTAAAGGCCGAAAAAAGGATCCGATCCATTTCGTCAACGCTCGCCCGACCTCTGAGACGGAACGACTCCGGATACAGCGGTTGGTACGAGCTCATGTTGGAAAATGGATCTCCGATCAGACTAAGGACCGCTCTGCAGCGACAACGACAGAGTTCTTGGAGGAGGGCCGGGCGAGCGCGAGCTCGAGCGCAAGCGCAAACCGGGTGAATCTCTCTGAGATTGCGCCGCACTACAATGCTATCGATGCGGTAGAATTCCCTTTGCCCTCGTCTTCGTCGCCCTCCGTCGGTTCGTCGCGTGAATCGCCGGAGTCGACTAGTTCGCGCAGTCTGTCGCTTTCCGTGCGCTCTTCTTCGCATGTCGGTGTGGTGCCGATGTCTTCCGTTTCTTACACCTGGGATCAGGAGGAAAGTGATGAGACTACTCATGAGTACGGTTCTGATGCGCTGGTCACGCAATCGACCGCCCAGCAAGGCATTGACTCGTCTGGTTCCCTCTTCAATGGGGTCATTGGCGCAGATGTCTTGGATCCCTTCCACACCTATCCGTCGCGCCATACGCCACGAGCGATTGATGCGTGCCGAAGATACAGTTCGTGTAACAAATCTGAGACTTGATTTCATAGAACTATTACTAACCTGGGCAGTGTTTGAGGTCTTGTGGCCGAATCTGACTCCCCCCACACCTGGCGGACCCGGTGTCTCTGCTGTTGGGAGCTGGTTCCCTCTTTCCATGACGGATCCAACGTTATTTGCCGCTTTTCTGTTTGGGACGCTTTCGCACCAACGCTGTCAGTGGATCAACGGCCGTATCCCAGACGGAGCATTTCGACCCGAAGACCAGCGGCTCCTGCAGGAGTCCGAATATGAAACTATCAAGCTGATCAACGATGCGCTCAATGATCCGAATCGAGCCCTCAGCGATGCGATCGTGTTAAGCGTCATGTGCATGGGGCACAACATCGCCGACGACAACGATCGACGACGCAGTGGAACCACGCCGTTCAACCCACCCTTGACCCGTCTGCAATGGCTCGATGTCTACGCCAGCTTGCCTCCAAATCTTGTCCACTTACAGGGGTTGGTCGAGCTTGTTAGAATGCGGGGCGGTTTGAAAAACATCAGGCTGCCAGGAGCTGGCCCTATTATGTCGTTGTATGGCCGCCCGTCCTTCCCTATCTCTCTGCTCATATTCCCAAGCTAATGATATACAGCTCTGCCATTTTGACTGCCAGCTATCTTCTGTCGGCACCCATCTTCCCCTATATGCCCCTCTACGAACTTCGCCAAAGTCTCACATTACAGGAACTACTTGGATACACCCCGCTAGACGTCGAGCTGGGGTTCGGTCGTCTCTGTCAGATTGGATTCACGGCCGAAATGGCAGACGTCTTCCAAGCCCTGCGCGTCTACACGAATATCGTCATCGAACACATGAAGCACAGCCAACCCAATCCTGACCTCTCCCTGCTCTGCGACCAGCGCAACCTCGTTCAACAGCACCTCCTCACCCTCCCCCCAGCTCAAAATATCCCCACCTGCTTCGCCCACCCACACCACAAACCGATCTACGAAGCGTGCCGCCTCGCTGCCCTTACCTACAGCGTCGGTGTCACCTTCCCGCTCCCCTCCCAATCTACCCCACTCGCCCGCCTCGGGCGTCTCATCCAGGAGGTCCTCCACACTCCCGACGCCGCATCCATCTGGTCCCACCCGCACGCCCAGCTCGCCCTCCTGTGGGTCCTGACTCTAGGCGGCATCGCCGCGACCAACCAGCCTGAGCGGGACTGGTTTGTCCGCACGCTAGGCCAGGCGGCCGCACACGCGCAGGTATATGCCTGGTCGGACCTGAAGCGCGTTCTCGAGTTCATGCTCTGGTATGACGTCGCCTGTGACCAGGCCGGGTATACGCTCTGGGCCGAAGTGGAGCAAACGTTCGTTCGTCATGTATAATCTATTCTTCCATAATGTTATTGTTTACAGCGGCGCTGTACTTCTTTCTTTTCTTTTCTTTTTTTTTTTTTTTTTTTGCCTGGAGATTTGGCTTGGTAGCCTCAGGCGCATATTATATACATGACAGGTCATGGGATTTTAGCGGGGCAAATAGGCGTATAGACACACAACACCCTGCCTATATACGAAATTGAAATAATTTGTGGACTTTCAGAACAGATCCCAGTAGGGATGGGAGACGGAGTCTGGGGACAAATCACGGCGCACTCGAAATCCCATACGAAGACGCCTCCCCGTGCCGCCCTAGATGCTGCGGCGCATGATGCAGCAGCGGCTCGCGCTCCCAGTCCCGCGCAGCGACGCCGGAGTACTCCACCGCCCTCGCGGGGAAACCAACACCACCGGCCTCGGCGCACGCCTGCGTCTGCACGCTCGCTTCCGCCTCACGGGCGCCATCCCGCCTCAACGGCGCCGGCGCCATCTCCCGCGCCTTCCGCCAGACATACGCGACCATGGCGGTGCCCACGACCGCCGTCGCGGCAGTCAGGACGATGTTCACGGGGACGGGGTTCCTGGCGAAGCGGGTGAAGGTGAGGGCGTCGAGGGCGGGCTGGGCGAAGTTGCCGAGGCCGGCGAGGCAGATGACGAGGCCGTAGACCTTGCCGAAGGTGCGGAAGCCGAAGACCTTTGCGGCGTAGTCGGAGACAGCGGTGTAGTAGAAGGGTCTGTAGAGGACGAAGAGGACGATGTTTGCGTAGGCGGCGGGGAGGGCGGGGATGCAGCCCAGGATGCCGATGGCGGTTGCTGTTGCGGCGAGGAGGGCGAGGACGTGTGCGGTGGGGAGGGAGTCGAGGAGGTGGCCGATGAAGGGGATGGAGAGGAGGCCACCGAGCGGGAGGAGGATGTCGAAGGCGGTGTTGAGGTGGTGCGCGAGCGCGGGGTTGAGTAGGTAGGTGTATTGCTGGCGGATGGTGGCGACGAAGTAGTTGATGCGGAGCATTTGGAGGACCGTGAAGAGGGTGATGAGGACGAACCAGGGGGTGCGGATCTGCTGGAGGGCGGAGCGGCCGTGCAGCGCGCCCCAGACGCCGCTGGTGGCGTGGGGGGGTGGGGTTTTCTTAGTCGCGATTTGGTCTGTGTTGGCGTTGACTTCCAGGTTGGTGGGCGGGTCTGGGAGCGCGGTGCGTGCTAAGAGCTGGGTGTTGTCGTCGGCGAGGAGGTCCTGGATCTTGCTCACGACGGATTGGCGCCGCATGCGGCGGTCGTTGCGCTGGCGCTCGCCTTCGGAGCGATCAGGGATGCCGTCGTCGATGTGGTCGTTGGCTTCGTCGGCGAGGCACGCCTCCGCCTGCTGGACCAGTTCTCCGGCCGTCTTGTAGGAGGTGGACGGCATGACTAGAGCCTGCGCAGCGAGGATGAACAGGGGGACGATCAGGTAGATTAGGAAGAATCTGCCTGTCGTGAAGGACCCATTTGTTCGCTCATTGATCAGTCGGAAGCCCAGGAATAACGCGCTAGACGCGTCGAAGGCGCCCGTGAGCAAGGATAGAATCAGCCCTGAGCGGGCGGGGAATGTGTTGGACAGATGAAATGACGAGATGAAGATAAACGGCCCTCCCAGGGACAGAAACAAGTAGCCGGGGATGTAAGCGTCAAAGGGGAGTCTGGCGGCAAATCCAAACAGCAGAGCTCCAATAACGAGACACAGGCTTCCGAGGTTTCCACACACGCGAGGACCAAAGGTATCCAAAATCGTGCCGACTGGAAGAGCAGACACGTTTGTAGCCACCGCGGCGATGGTGAACATGAGATTGAGACTGTGGATGTCAGCTGGGCTCCAAGAAGAAACGCGGGAGAGTCGTACCGGAGTTCTTGTTGGTAGCAAACTTCCTGTTTCCTAACGAGTTCATCTTGCGAACATAGATTGCGATAGACGCCTTCTCGAACTAGGACGGGCTTCAGGGCCGCGAAGCCAAAGACGACCCCTGCGGCAAGAAAGCAATATACGACCGCCACGCAGACCTGGCCTATTACCTACCGTGTTAGCATCCCCTCACCTAGGGCTAGTAAAAATGGATATCAACATACAGATTCGTTTGGTGCGACCAACTTCAAATGCTCCAGTAGTCTGCATCGGATAGTCGTCTTCGGGTCCCTCCAAGGGGTCTGGTCTAATCTCGATGTTACTGTCCCCATGGAAGTATTGAATCCTGGGACTCATCCCCCCATTCGCAGGGGATGCGCACCGTGGAGTGGGAGCGTCAGTCGCATCTTCTCCGGTCGGCTGGTTCCAGCCTGGTCCAGCATAGGGGTTGAAATTCAGCCGATAGCTAAACGTGGTCTGGAATGAAGATGAGAGCGACTCTTCTGGGAGTTCATGATATCTCCCATCGTCTGACTCCAGATCAACTTCCGGCCCCTGATCCCCGGTCTGGTGCTGACTCTGATGTTGATGGGACGAGACCTGAGTTTGACCCCAGGATTCTAGATAAGACACTCGATTAAGAGACATGTCTGGAGAACCCGGTCAGTTAGCAACTTAGCACCGATATAGAGATCTTAATGGAATGTCACATACTTGATGATCAGGGGGTAATGACGGGTCCTAGGTTGTGAAAGCCAGCATCCCCCACGAAGCAGCGGAGATAACCATAGCGTGGATGGGGAGGGTCGAACCTTGCCGATAAAGACCAAAACGGCGTATCTCCGTCAGCTGAGACCTTCCAAGATTCCCAAGGTCTTTCCAACCGATAACAGGATGCTATTTCAATCATGCAGGACAGCTTCATCGCAAGTGACGTCGGCTGTTGGCAGCGGGTCACCTGATTGCCGCTCATCGTCCCCCGCCTCGTCTCTTCTTCTCCCTCGCATCCAATAGTTAATAACATCCATCTCATCCCTCCCTCATCAATCAATTCTGCATCTATCCATCGGCTCAGCTAGTCTAATCAAGAAGCATGCTATCTACTTATCACTAACTAGACTAACTAATCAGCAACTTTGAATCTTGTCGGCCATTCCGCCGTGTGGGTCGCCTTGCTTCCAAAAAATTGTGCTTCGCCTTAACAATGGCCCCCATGTACAAAACGGCACCTACTCTCAGGCCCTCAGCTCTTCGCTCTCACCAAATTAATGGGATCTGCTGCAACTCTAACTCAGTATAGCCATGCATCTTGTTATTCATTCGTGGAGCGTTGTCGATCGTGGGCAATATCTCCCGAAAGAGCCTATAACGAGTAATGGCGCACCGTTTGGATGGGCTGCAGAGCATCGACTTTTCGGACAAGGCACCTCTTTCTATCTAGCAGACGGAACTAACTAATGCCATGACCTGAGGAGCCGTATCATGTATGAGTCCGGTGGATCCGTCTCTCTTAATTTACATCGCTGCACCATCAGCACCATTGATGCAACCTTGACGACTACCTCCACAATTCGTGCTTCCCATGCTTTTTTTTTTCCATTTTGAACCACGTACTACAACTAATATCAAACACAGAGCCGGCGTTGTGAAACATTGGGCGCATGGTCTCAACATGGCTGGACTCAGGTTGTATTATTCCGGCTGTCCGGATATTCCGATTCTGAGACGTTGGTGGCGGTTGGCCTGTTTCGAAACTGTCAAAGCACTGCGTTTCAATCACTTCTTCACCGGCCGCGCATTATCTTCCAAACTGTTCACGATATGAGTTACAACTGAAAAATTTGATGTTATTCAACACCAGTTGCGGGAGAAGTGTTTGGGCATCACATGAAAGCTCGGTGATTTCTGCCGTAAAACGACCCTCAAAACCTTCTCAGAACCTTCAGGATCGAGAACAACTCTTCAAATCCCATCCCTTGTTTGAAGGACTGAAGGACGGGGCGGCAGCATTAGGCTCGCGGAGGGCCAATCTGCCGAATGACAGGCTGGGAACAAAGAGAAGGGTTTCTTTTAGCCTTTATCCTTGGTCCTCTAGCTCTGGTCACACCCGCCCGAAGCCCTATGCGACCTCAACGACTATCTGGCCGCTATGATGTACATTTCGGTAGAGTCTAGATCTATAGGCTTCGGCACTAGATCCTCATATGCAAGACTGGTGGGACCACATACCACCTCAATGTCAATTCGGTGGAGTCAACGTTCACTGCGCACTGTGGAGAGAGATGCGGCCGAGGAAAGGGGGAGGGCCTGAAGTTGAAGGATAGAGTAACCATACGGAGGCTCGGAACGAGAAAAGCGAAGGTGTCGAGAAAGCTGTTCGCTTAAGTTAAGCCTAATTGCACCGTTGTGAATGATGGGGCCCTCCCATTAAACTTGTGAGTATTTTCTGATTCGGGCAGTGATCAGAGGTGGTCATGTCAATCGCCATGCGTTTTTTTTCGGGGAGAACCCCATCAGCACTGCAACGCTCCAATTGTGCCTCGAAGCTTGAGTCTCCGCGAACTATCCCACTTGGAGAAGGAGGCCGGTCTATAGCGGTCTGGAGTCTGGACGCTACTGATGGGCCCTCCTTAGTCCTCACACATGCTCTCATTGGAACAATATGCTATGTGACAGCAAAGGGGAACCCCCCTCCCCTCCCTCCGTTGCCCTGGAGGACATCCTTGTGTTTGGCGCTACCTGCTTCTGCAGCTACAGAAGTGTTATCACTTTGCTGCTTTAACGTGCATCATCTGCTCAGCCAAGATTTTTGGGGGCATGTCGACACTCTCTTTATTGGCTTTCATCCGACGAGTCTTAACCCACTGTGTATCCGCCTCGCACGACCCATCCGCGCGGGCAGTTGTCCATTTAGGATATCAATCAATTCATCATCCGTCACCGATGAGATTGGCAATGTTAGCTGCGTTTTAGTGCCTTCTCTCTTTTCGCATCCACTCATCTATCTAGCGTTTGTTTCTGCTCTCGACTTTTTTTTTTCTCTCTTTCTTGCCCTCATATCGTGGCTCGCCCAGTGTTGAAGTCCCTCAGCTCATCCATGGCTATCATAGTCGTCTGTCCATGACCAACTCGAGGACAACGTAATGAGGGGATGGTCAGTTGCAGTGTTTCCAGTCCATGTACCTAACAAAACAATCTCCTGTTCTTCGCAATGGCGCCTCCTTGTCTGGCACTTACTAATGCGTGCTGATTCTTCTTCCCAGTCTGACTTGTCGGCAGCGCCATCTGAAATGTACCACATCCCTCATTGGAATCACAACCCTTCCAAAGCCGGAATCACGGGATCTAATGCCGGAGCTTAGGTGATAAAACTGGTACGGAATGTTTACGCTGTCAACGATCAGGACGTAAATGTATTCCAGCACCCGCGAAGCCAGAGGAAGTCACTTTTCGACATGGACAGAATCCATCTCTACGGCCCAGAGGTCCTCCTCGTTACGGAGAGAGCGATTTGACGTTCCCTGACAATCAGATCTGGGTCAAGACACCTCCAGAAGGTAGGTAGGTCCCAGTCACTATGGAGAAAGAGAAGCCACAAGGGTGCTAATAGGGTTTTTGTGAGACTTCAGTTGCCTTCGAAGACGAGACTGACCGCACGGCTGCCGACTATCAGGTTGTCCCACTCGGCGGGTCGACGTCCTTTCTCGCCATAGTACCTGAAGATCAGCCCTCAACGTACATTCCGACACTGTCGTCGTCAGCAGCTACCCATGCTTCCGCAAATTCGGATGTCCCTTTAAATCATCCTGGCTGGACCAGGTTTTCAGAACACTACATCCCTAACGCCTCTAACACTCTTCTTCCACTCGAATCCTTGATAAGCCGTCCGAAACTGGGCAGTCTCAATGAAGCCTTCCTTCTACGGCACTTTCGAAACACCTTGGGTGCATGGGTACTGTACTGCTCTCTCATTATCATGACTTGGCTGACGATCCCTGAAGTTGGATGTATGCGATCCTGAAATGCACTTCTCACTGGATGTGGTAGAACAGGCACCTTCCTGCCCCCTTCTTCTGTATGCCTGCTTGGCCATAGCTGCTCGTCATTTATCCCACACAAAGCACTTAATTCCACCGAATACCGCGGATGAATACCATGAGCGATGCATTGCGATCCTTCTTCCCACCCTGGAAAACAGAGACTTCTCTATCGGCATTGAAGTGCTTCTCGCGTCGACCGTCATACTACGCTTTTTCGAGCAGATATCTTGTGCGTGTGATGGAAAACATGAACTTGGCAATGATTGGGTTACTGATGAATTTCGCGTGCATTTACAGCTCATGCTCCATCAAACGATCTTCAGCGGCATCTTCTCGCGGGCTCGGTCTATGTTAGCGCCCAAGTTGACTGTGCAATATCCGGGGGTCTTGCCGAGGCCTCCTTCTGGGTCTTTGTCATGCAGGATATACTGTTTGCACTGGTGCACAGGAATCCGCTCCGGTTGATACTCAATCCGTTTGAGCAGAAACTTCGCCAGGTATGGGAAGATACGACCACACAAATTGAGCGTGATTGGACACACAAAGCTATCTGGTTACTGGCGGAGGCTATCAATTACTGCTATGGCGCGAACGATCATATGTCTCCCGACGTGGTAGATGGAGGGCCGCTGGATAGTAAAATTCGTGCCTGGGAGATTGAGAAACCGGAGAGTTTTCAACCATTACATTTTTCTCCAGGCGAGCCACGGAATGGCAGGCCATTCCCTGTTGTCTGGTACACAACATCATTACAAGGTGAGTATTTTCCCCCTTACTGGTGTATTTTCTTTTCTCATCGGCAATTGGAATAGCTACCGCCGCTCAGCACATTTGCATGGCAAAGGCATTACTGCTAGAGCACGAGCTCCGCCATATGCATCCAGATATTAATTTAGAGAAGACCATGAAGATGAAGGTCCGTCACTTGGAACCGTTTCCGACAGACCCCAACGTTGCGGGGCAAGAGCTCATAGATCCTAGGACGATGTGATGAAGAACCTAGGCATTCTCTTTGGCATCGCCCTCTCAACGGACGATGATCCCTCAGTACGCATCATGGCGTGCCATGCATTATGTGCCTGTCAGTTCTACTCTACGCAGTATACGACCGCGATCTCCATCTCGTGGAACTAAGGCCGAGCCCGAACTAATTGAGCATTTAGGCGGCTCTTGGATACGCGATCCTCTGGCACAGCATTGCCTCCTCGATCTTCTGCGAAAGACAGAGGCCGAGAACGGTTGGCCGTGGGCCTTTGTGGTGCAGAAGCTGAGCCAAGACTGGGGCCACGCCGCGACATAGGACTAAACTAGTGTAACCAAGCTAGCTATCTTCTCACCACATACTACTAAACAAAAAGACCTACTGTGTACGGAGTAGGTGTATGTGGTCATGGGTTTGTTCCGGATTAATCATCAAGGCAGTAATCCCAATGTCACATTAAACGACTGTGAACACTGAACAGTGACCAAGAGACCCACCATTTGCGTGGTGGTGCTCTACTCCGAGTAGATTTTGATCTCATATACTCTCATATCACGCTGGTGGTCTCTTTTGTCTCTGTTGGGGACTTTGGGAGAGACCAGAACGAATGGCCTCGGGGAAGAGGGAAAATCTTCATAGAAACGCATTCGCCCCTCGAACGATCTCCCATTCCCCCTCCGTTGTCACTCTCTGCGATGATCCCACTCCCGGCTTTACAGAGGTACTTCCCTGGCGGTTTAGATAAACGCCCTTCTTGGCAAGAAGCGAAAGGGAGTAAAACGACCAAGCCCTCTCTCGAGTTCGGATGGATGGTACCATGGAATTGCAAAAGCTAAAACAAGATGAAGATGCTGTACAGATATCTGCGTCTGGAATATAAATAGTGATACTAAATACTAATCATATACTATACTATGGGTTGTTCTCTGAAGCAATCCTGATACCTGGGAGGGAAGATATCTGGTTCCCAACAGATAAAAACAACCACCCCTCTGATATATACCCTCCACTCCTCTTGTCCAGCACATACGACCACAGGGTGTGGAGAACAGGGCTTCCCGTCCGCTCAGCCGTACTTAAGCCACACGCCGGCCGGTTAGTAGTTGGGTGGGTGACCACCAGCGAATCCCGGCTGTTGTATGTTTTTGATTCTTTTTATGTCTGTTTCTTTTTGATTGATGTTGGGTTCAGCGCCCTCGCCGCTTTCTCTTCATCCTCTCTTCAGCCTTGTTCACCTAAAGCTCAGCTGAACTGCCTGAACCTCAATACTGCACACCCAGTGACCCCGCTCAACCCCTGTCCTGCTAACGTGTCCTCTTTCCACAGCACTACTGTGTATACTGGTATGATGTTTGCATGTAGCTTAGCAGTCGGTCCCATTATGCATTGTTACCGATCGCTAAGACTTCCAACGGAGCTATAATTATTGTAAATACGGCTAAACACACCTGAACATCGACCTACACAGTACATCGTAGACCAGACTATCAGTTTTTGGAACAAAATTTTGACCGAAGGTGGAGAGATGCGGGCCGTAAAAGCACTGGCAGCTTTTGATGCTGCGCATCTCAGTTTCCATCCTTTCATAACTGACGCTCGACGCCGCTGCACCTTCTGTAGCGCCCTGTCTGAGTGATAATGTGTCATCTACTCCGTACTCCGCCTCCCTATTGAAATTCTCATCTATATTTTTGAACTGCTGGATGACCTGGATGATGCTTTGCACCTTGCACGCTGCTGCAGGAGGATTTACAGGACTTTTAACCCATTAAACACCTGATTGAGAATCTTCCGGTCCATTATTGTACGTCTTCATCACCATTAGGCACTCAGTTCTAACAAATGGACTAGAGGAATGCGGACCAGCATGCACTTGAACTGGGTTTATTTCTCCTGGCTGGACTGAATGAATGATTCACGCTGTATAACAAATCACCAATTCCACGTGGGCTCTCCTATTATAAGGAGTTCTTCCAACAGCACCTGGCTATCCGAGATCTATCTGCTGCAGTGATCTGGGAGGTTGTATGTCGGTGGCATGCAATGCGCCTTCTTTTCGATTTCTACTGCGACACATCCATATAGACATCTTACTCCCTAGCACGCTGGCAAGCAAGCAAGGAAGGATGGGTGGGAGAGGATCCTCTTCCACCACCTGTTGGATGTACTTGTGGCGTTTTCCAAGAGCTGAATGCAGGAGAGAGACAGCGCTCCTATCAATGGTTCTACAAGGCTCTAACTGCTCATTGGGCCATGGTGGAAATGCTGTGGGTTGCAAGAGTAGCTGCCTATCATTCACCAGACCTTCGGGATGAAGCTCACGCACGAATATGGGATATGTTCACCAACACAACGCGATCACTACAAGAGAAGATAGATATTATTAAGGTTGTTGACTTCGTGTAGGGCTTTCTAGCGCGCAAAAATTTTCACCCCCCCTTCTTTTTCTATTTGGCTGCAGGGTCAAAGTGAAGAAGTCATCCAGGATTACCGCGTTAGAGATTGAGACAGAAGACTAGCAATATTTTGTTCAGTGCATCTTAGAGTTCTTATGACCACCTCATATACTTGAGCTTTTGATCCTCTCAACCTGGTCATCGATCGAATCATATGTGGAAAGTCGACCGGCCTACATACCTACGTCGATTGGGGTTTTTTGACACCCGAGATGGGATTGTGGAACATGGTGACCAGGTTTGTTTTGAGGAGGCTGTGTTTCTGGTGTCAATATGGGGAAAGGATGTGGAAAATGAACTGTGTTGATTAGTCCAGACTGAAGAAACAGTGGTGAGTGAGAGTTAGTCAGACTTGGTTTCAAAGTGGGAGTGGTATAGGAATGTGATATAGGCGCAGAAGGAGAGGGGCCAGTTGCTCTTCTGGAATGAAGATCCTCAAGTGATTCTTAACAGGATCCGGGATACATATCCTGATTGAGTGCATCTCATTCCCATTCGTAATTGACAAGTAATCATTACAGCCCTGAACCCCGCACATGTCACGGGAAGGTCAAGTCACATGCCAAGCAAACCTATTAGTAGCCGCCCTTGGTCGCCAGCTTTGGTTGTCCTATGCGTCGGGATAGCAAATCAAGCTTGTATTAAATTTCATTAAGAACTTCAGCAGTCTAGTTTAGAACACCTTTCCTTCATTGGTATGGCCACACCTTCGCGTGTAGCTCTCTTTGTTTCTCGTCTTCTGCCAAATTGATAAACTCTTGCTTGAAGTAATTGTTCCATTTCCTGGCATCTTCATATCGTTCTGGAGAAACCATTCCACCCAGAGAGATAAGCCCATCCTCTTGAAGCTGATGAAGAATCATTGAGACTCCTTCGATTAACTCCGTCTCATTTTTGTGCCGTTCTAATTCCTTATCTGTGAATTCAATTGGACGTTTGATTCCACCACCACGTATATCATCCCAATGAGCGACAGCTGTGATCATTGCATTCCGTAGGGAAAATAGGTCCTCCCGGTCCCAGCAACAAGGCACTAGGGAAATGGGTTCACATCTGATCGCGTGAAGTGGGTCACTAAGCACCTTCCATTGGAAGGGATCCATATTCTTCAGTCTCTGGAGATAAAATTCTAGAAGTTGCTTTTTGATTACTTGACGCTTAGCCTGCGGGTTCTGAGAAACTTTAAGCATCTGTGGAAACGGCCTCTGTAGAAAAATAGGAGATGCAGAAACATGCTGCCAGTTAATTATAGATGTGATATGGTTTGTTTGTGGATCCACAAAAATGTTGTCAAGATGCAAATTAGGGTGTGAGATGGTGATGATTTGCTTGTTGTATAATGGAGGTGGGATAAGGTATGGAACTAGCTTTTTATATTGCTGAAGCACTGATATATAATCTCTGGGGGTTTCTGGCTTGTTGGTTGACTGTTGGAAGTTCATCCTTGGCTGCGCGTGTTCCTTAGCCCATTGGATCTTATTCTTCTCAACAGCTAAAGCATAGTCCGCAATGCTATCCCCTAGTAGTCATCAGAACCAACGAATCAGCAATAAAATATGGAACAACCTACATGGACCCCTATTGAGCTCTATTACTGCTCTTTTACCCTGCCAGTACTTTGGGTGAGTAAGAGGACCAATTGCAAATTTAGGTAAACCATGGCTTTAATCTGGCACCGACACAGGCATAGGTTGTTGTGATTCAAGGTCTGATTAATAGTATATACAGCCGTGCCTTGGGAAAGTGATTAATACAAGCTTTTTCTCTATGCTGATGATTTGTTTGACTATGTCCAACTGAGAGGCTAAGGGTAATTTATCCTATAGTGATTCTAAAGGCTTCTCTATCACCTTTTCTTTAAGGATCTACTTAGCATCTACTGCATTTAACGCATCCGCTGATCAAGCATAAATACAAGGAATAGGTATCCCTAAGCAGTCACAGATCTTCACGCATGTTAGTTCCATATAGACAATTCATGAGGTAAGACACCTACAAATTGATGTGTGGCAACCTCTGAGGCAGTTATATAAAATACTAGTCCAGTATTTGGGTTTGGCAGTCTAGTAACTATCTCTTATCCAGTACTTATAGTCAGGATAAGCACTTTATTATATTGCCCTTCCACACATTTAAGAACCTTGATACCTATTATTAAATAATTAGCTGTGAAATGGTCTTAAAATAATAAGCACTCACATTAGGCATCATTAAGGCCAGTGATGTTGATGGCAGCGTCCAAAAGTGCTGACAGCCTGAATTTATGATAACGTGCTGCGAGCTTCTCAGCTTCCCAGCTCCTAAGAACTTGTTATTGACAGGTATGCAACGTCGTGAAGGATGACGTACAACCATCGGTATCGTTGGTATTTGTATAGGTCGGCTTCTTCAATTGGTATCTCTACTAACATTGTCAGTGCCAAAGACTGATTGCATGACTGTGGATACAAGATACCTTACCCTTCTCTCAACAGTCTCCATATTAGCAGCGTCATAGGATGCTGTATAGAATGGCTTTTCTCTAGGTAAGAGAAGGTACTGAACACTCTTCGAAACATACAGAGATTTGGGAAGGGAGTGAGCAAAGCCAGATAGCTTTGTAAAGGAAGGAAAATCAGAGTTATATTTTAATCATCAGGGTGGTGATGGTTAAACTTAGGGCACTTTTATTAGCCTAGTAACTAGTGTACTGGCATGACCCTAACTCTAACCCTAACCTATCCAAGGAAACCTTTATGTCTCTTTAGATGGAAATACCTAGTATAATGTATATAAATTATTTGGCTATAGTAAGGCTCTATCCTTAATGAGTCCAAGCTCAGACTAGGCTGTTGTATTTTACCTGTGTCTGGAGCTAACAGCTATTAGGGGCCCTGGACAGGTTCGCCTAAATAATTAAAATATCTTATTCCAGAGAGAAACATTAGTGTGTGTCTGCTTAAAGTGACTTAGGCTGGGATAAAGAAGAACTAGTAATAGTTACTCTCCTGCCTAGTAAGGATAGCTTAGCAGTGTATTATCTCTTGCCTTATGTATATTACTTATAGTGTGGTATAGTGGCTATAGGAACCCTTAATTCCAGGATAAAAGTCCCTTATCCTGTCTTAACTTTCCTAAGGTAAGAGAATAATCTTGAATTTGTTATTCACTGCTAAGTAAATAACCTATATATAATCACAATAACCGCCCATGCATAGTGAAATAATCTAAAAGGAATCCCATTCCAAGCTGTAGACATTATAGTGACTTTCTAAATCCTCCTGACTGATTCCTCTTAATACCATCAAGTTCTGCACAACGTTTGGCGAGATTCACTGTCAAGTATGGCCTGTACTTAAGCTGTATCTATCTTACTCTCTTGGCTGGGGGCTGTAATCAGATGTTAAGCTAGCCCTGCTAGGTCTTAGCAAGCACAGCCAGTCCCTGCGGCTTAATACCTAGGGTAAATCATGGCTGCTTAAGTGCCAGCCTACATGTCTCCACCTGCCATGGAAGTGTCAGATAAAGGTATGTTGTACTCTGGCACTAATGATCATAATGCATCCACCTGGTGCATGGCACGTTGAGCCCAAGTTAACAGGCCTTGTACAAGGTGCCTCGAACAATGGAGGAGATGATCTTACTGGTGACGGGCTCCACCATAAGCCTTTACTTGAAAGTATTGGAGGGCCAGTCCTTATTGCTCCGCCTTCCACACCGGTATCAGACAAGGGGGGTTTATACTTCTCCATAGCCACTTCAGAACATCATCCTGGCACACGTCTGGCAGAATACAACCAAGACCAAACGAACACTATGCACGAAATTGGAACAACCGACTTATGTCAGGGGGATGTTAGCGGAGACGCAGAGGATAGGCATTTGACTACATCATCGATCATAGACTTGGACGGACCGATCGATGAGGGCCTACGGCCGTCCAGGGAATCCTTCCAAGTCTGGATAGAAGACTCCATCAAAATAGTGAAGCCTGTACACCGAGAAAACTTCTAGCAAGGGAAATTCTAGCGATTTGGTAATCATACCGGAATAAGCTTGAGAAGGAGTGGAAGATTGTCTGGCGAAGAGCTTGACTAACAAGTTTGACATTCCCGATAATTGTAAAATTAGAGCACAAAGTACACCACTTCAGGAACTAAGTTATTCAGGCGCCGCGCAAGTAGAGATGATGTTGCTGTACCTACTTTTTCTAGCCAGTCCAGATGATTCGAGTGTGGGCGTCAGGGATTCTACCCTGCCTCCTGCCTCACTACCAAAAGCCGTAATTCTAATCTCATTACCAAAGCTTCAAGAACCGCAACTTGGTCTATAAATGCCAGCCTTATCTGGAGTGCTCACCGCGATCTGGCACGGACCAGTTCATCCTTTCCTTTCAGCATCCTCCTCTTGAATAACCTTGCCTGGGAAAGCATGTTCCTCTTCACAAGCCTGCCCGAATTCCGGAAAGCCTCATCTGGAACCTCCCGCCAATGGTTCAAGCAAATGCTGGAAGATGGAAGATACGGCGCCATCCAAGCCCAGCTTAGCAGATCCTCACGCATGGCAACCAATTAAAGATGTTGTCACAGCTGAAATGAAGTTTGGGATATCTCTATTAGGAGACCACTGCGGCATTGAAAACATAGGGGGCCAGTACCATATGGTGTTTACAGCTTGTTTCCAGAAACCCCCCAACAAGATCCATCTCATATCCTGCCCGCAATTGATTCGCGCAGCTAATTTAACCCCTGATAAGCAGGAGTCACTTCAGATCAACCTTGAAGCTGCTTTGGGCCGTATAGCAAAAGAGGAGTGGGACAAACTCAAGAGATGTTATAACATTAGGGTTTAGGAGTGGCTTGTTGTTTCTGATGCAGAGGAAGAATAAGGGATTTAGCTTATTACCTGGTTTTTCAAAATGAGGCAACATGGATGTAGTCAAGTTTTAGCTGAAGTGTTTGGAAAGCTCTACGGCAGGTCTTGGAAGGGATTTTTGAACATAAACAGAGACAACTCCTTTTGCTAAAGCTCAGTTAGTTTGTTTCCAGACTTGTATTTTACCGTTTAAGACACAGCATTGATAATTGAAATTTGCTAGTTAGCCCAGTCCTCTGTCCTACAACAGTGGAGGCATATATAGGAGCATGACAGTGGATCACAAAGCACATAACTGGCTGTTAATGTGGTTTAAAGAGGCTCTCTACATAGTCTCCATTCTCTATCTAATGTGGTTCCTATTTATCTTTATTGTTTTATGCGCTTATTACTTTCTAGCACTGGCCAAGAGTTCAAGAAAACAAGCCAAGCCCAAATAGAGACCCCCTGGGCTAAAATGGGCAGGCACATGCACTTTCCTTTCTGTTTTGTGTATAGGAAGCTTAATATCCCTACAGAGAACCTGCCTGAAAGACATCTGCCTGACCCAGGGGCGCCGCCCGCACGTTATGGAGGGGTTCTACAAGTGAATCAAACCGTCCAAGAGCGGGAACGAGATGATATTATATTTATACACGCTATCAGAGGCCCTCTGCCTGATCGCAGCCCCGGTCTATACGGCCCGTAAGTTCGTCGATAGGATGGTGGAACACTTCGATAATGACTCTCGAAGCATACCCTACAGACCCAACCTCAGTCAATGCTGGCAAGAGGCCAACCAAAGGGCGCTCAGAAGGCATCGCCTGACGCTGAAAGAACGTGAACATTTGTCAAGGCAGCAACTCCTCAGCCATTTGGAATCTCAAGTAATGAAGTTTCTTCGATATGGCGGTTTCTTACCCCAGGGAAACTTGCCGCGTCGTTTTGACCATTTGGAGAGTCCTCTTGATGTAATATCTAAGGAGATCGACTTTGTTGAGGGGCAATTAGAGGAGCTACTTTCCGCGAAGCTGCGCCAGGTGGGGATTTCTCCAAGTAAAGGCCTCTGTACGGATCAGCTGGAAGCAGAGTTACTACAGTTTTAGAAGAATAGTTAAGTATGTTAAGGAGTCATAAGTTAGCACTTAGAAATTCCTGAAATGACTCTACTCTGTTCCTTAGTAACCAAGACAGTGAGGCTTTTCTGATGATAACCTCACTTAAGACCCTGGATTACTACTTAGAGGCAAAGAGAGCATAGCACATTATGCACCCCCAATAGCCCCACTAGTCTAAGGACTTTGATTTGTACTTTCCATGATTGATAAGAGTTGATGATAGTTGCACCATAATAAAGCAGTAACTATGGAGGTGTGGTGCAAAAGTATATGGTATGCTAGTAAGCTTGGCTATAAAACTATGGTAAGTTCAACTCTATAGTAATTTATATGGCAGCCTACTTTAATAGATTTTACTATAGAGATAAGATAGAAAGTTCAACTCTAAAGCTATTCAGACCCATAAAAATAGTATTTCTTATAAGATTTCAGGTAGTAAGAGATTACTAAGATCTTATCTTCTAGAGAGCTTTCTCTTTAACTAATAGCCTTTTAAATTATAATTATCTTTACTTATATACCCCTCTGTATATTTATTACCCCCTTCTAGCTTAATAATAGACTTAATATAATAGATAAGATACTTAATCTACTATTAAATATACTTCTATAGAAGCTTATTCTATACCTTAATCTAGGCCTTCTTCCCTATCTTCTTATTATAGAGGGCTCCTTAAGAAGTTATATATTATTTAAGCTAGGGCTAGGCTAGCTGTAAGGTTTATAAAGGTCTATTATATATTATATTAAAGCTACCTTTATAGAGGAACCTGATGATGAGAAGACTCCTTATAAGAGGTCATATAAATAGTTATATGACCTATAAAGATATAAATCCTGCCTGTGATTACTAAACTTTAGAGTTTAGTAATAATCTCTTTAAATAAGGACACCTATATTTAAATCTATTTATAATCATTCTTCTTTCACACTAGTTTCTAATTCTTGTGGATCATAGATCCTTATACTAGCTTAATAGTATTTAAATTAGATAAATTCCCTAGTTAGTTAAGTATCTTTTAGATATTATAAAGATTATAGATAGTCTACTAGAAATAGTAATAGTAAGCTAGAGCTAAATCTTTAAGAATAATTATATTAGATCTTTTAGAGATATATTCTTTAGTAAAAGATATTAGCTTAGAGATAAGAACTTTCTAAATAAATATTAGATTTAGAGATTAGTACTTCTCTCTTAATAAAAAATATATAAAGAAGAATACTTATCTTATAATATCTATATTAGTTAACCCCTCCCTTTAAATCCTATATAAATAAACTATTCTTCTTATTTTACTTCTACTTAGATAGATAATTAGATATCTTACTATTCTAAAGCTTTAGATATATTAAAGCTATATTAATCTTCTATTCTATCTTCTATATAGGCTTAAGCTACTAATTTAAAGCTTTAATCTTTTATTAAGTAAGTCTCTTATCTTAAGTAGTCTCTAGAGCCTAGATATAAAGAAGATCCTTTATATTATAAGAGAATACTCTTTATATTATAAAATTACTACTTCTCTTTTAATATTATTATATAACTATAGAATTATCTCTTTCTTAGCTTATATATCATACTTTTAGAGCTCTATACTATTAACTAAGTAAGACTAAGGCTTTATTTATAAATATTATATTCTTCTAATCTTTAAGGATCTAATCTTTATAAGTAAGATAAAAAAGGAGTCTTTTCTATTTTATTTTATTAGTAAGATCTAGTTTAATAATTATTTTAACTATCTTTAAGTTATACTACTTAAAGATATATAAAATAGAAGAATAAGAGATACTAGCTTTAAATATAAGTATTTTAGATAATTTTTTATACTTATTTTAATCCTTTCTTACTAATTTAAGAATAACTTTCTTAGTAGCTTTAGTAATCTCCTTAGGGCAGCCTATATACTTCCTATCTTCTATATATTTAGGGAAGATATATAGATTAATCTATGAATTATAGCTATAATCCTTAGCTTTTTTAACCTAGGTTTAAATTATCTAATAAGGGAGTAAGAGTCACCTTAACTGCCTTAATATTAACTCTAATAGATATTAAAGTAAGGGCTTAAGTACATATACTAATTAGGTGAGTGACATGCATCTTAGGCTTCTGTTTTGGTGGCTTCAGGGGTGAAAGGCAGGGAGATAGGCAGGTAGGTAGGCAGGTGTAATGAGTAGACACTGGGCCGCCTACTTACCACTGAGGCAAAAGACCTACAATGATTTGACCCTATGTCAAATCATGGCCCAGTTCCTATATATATATCTAGATAGCCTAACAGCAGGCAGGCTGGCTAGTAGTAAGATAGCCTAAGTTCTGTGGTGAATCCATCTTTTAAGATAAAAAAGAAAGAAAAAGGGGTACTAAATAGCTTTAAATTTCTTTTTCTAATAGAAGTTAAAGCAGAAGAACTAGATGAAATTAGGAGAACTATAGAAGATAGTGGCCTAATAGTTCTGCCTAGTAATTTTAGTATATAAGCTATGTAGAATTCTTATGCCAAGTTTACTAGCATGCTGAATACTTTTGCACCACACCTCCGTATGGGACCATGGTATGATAGGGAACCGTCTTGGTCAATCCAATGAGCTACTTCTCTCCTACTTCTCTCCAAAACTCTTCAAGTAGTTGTACATAGTTAGGGCACTGTTCCCTTATCTAGAATAAACCCTAAACATACCATATATTTTATCATCTATAACTCTGCCATGAAAGTTAACTGGGGGTGCAGTAGCACCTAAAGGATTTAATTTCTTATACTAAGCCTCTAAATAGGGTCCTTAGACTGATGCAGTAAGGAAAAACAAATTACTCTAAGAAGAATGTAAAATAGAGAGAAAGCCTGTTCTAGATCCTTATCAGACAACCCCTCCATGTTCCTGTAGTGCCTATCTAGTACCCAACCTGGAATTGCTAGCAATTTCACCATGAAGCTCTTAACTAATGACCCTTGTTATTTTACACCCGGCTGTAGAACCACCCCTCAGTCCTGGGTGTCAAGCAACTGTTGGTCATTAGTCACAAGGACCAACATGTTAACTCTCTATAATACCAGTGTGTTGCCCTTTTCCCTTTTCCTCTTAAGCATAATATTACACATTAAAATATGGCTTCATCCCAGTCAGTCCTGGAGGCTCTAACCTATAAGGATCTTATAAGGATCTATGATCCACAAGAATTAGAAACTAGTATGAAAGAAGTATGGTTATAAATAGATTTAAATATAGATATCCTTATTTAAAGAGAATATCACTAAACTTCAGAGTTTAGTAGTTATAGGTAGGGTTTATATCTTTATAGGTTATATAACTACTTATATAACCTCTTATAAGGAGCCTTCTTATTAGTAGGTTCCTCTATAAAGATAGCTTTAATATAATATATAATAGATCTTTATAATCTTTATAACTACCCCCCCTCTTAAAAGACCTTAGCCCCTAAAATCTATCTAAGATTCCTTATTTATAATAGGATGCACTAGTAAAAATCTTTATTTAGTAAAAATCTTCTTTTATAAAGAGAAAATTATAAATAATAAAAAAGATTTACTATCTCTTTCTTTTATAAACTTATATTTATTTATTTTTTTTTATAAAGGCTTAGTTATAAATAGACCCTTTTAACTATAATATCTTTATTATTATTAAAATCTTCTTATAATATATTTTAGGTTTATATTACTTATTCTTATAATACTCCTATAAATCCCTTAATAGCCTTATTATATAAAATTTTTATAGAGTAGGATTTAAAGTAGTAGTAGTTTTTATAGAGTATATAAGCTCTTCTTCTCTTTATCTTCTATATTTTTCTTAGTTTTTATTATAAAAGTTTTAGTAAGGGACCTTCTATAATTTATAATATTTAGAAAGAGGT